TTTGATTGAATTTACAAAAGTTAGACGTATGTCCCTTCTTACCACATGTATAACATTCCCTTTATGCTTTCTATAATTTTTTGGTTTATCTTTATGATAATATTCTTCTTTACTAGGTTTAGAAGTATATTTTCTTTTAGAATACCTATGGGTATAATGTTTTTTAGGTTTATATGTCTTTGAACATTGGCCATCACATCTTTGAGAAGATGTTATGCCATAATCAAATTGTTTACAGAATGATCCTAATTCTTTTTTAGTTTTCTTCATTTCATACTTTAATGTTCTTTGAAGCTTTAAGTCATGACATATTTGTAAGCCTTCTTTATGAATTATACTAATTAATTGACCATATGTCAGTTTACTATAAGGTATAGGATTACCATGTTGCTGTTTAATATTATTTCTTACCTTTTCACTCAAAAAATAAGGTAGACCTGCCAAGAACTTTTCTTTCCAAAAGCTCTGGTTTGAATCTTCTCTTAACATTAATCGAGTGAGGAAAGTTGTTTTATAAATTTGAAATTCACCTAGTGTTCTACATTTTAAATTACTTAATAATTCTGCATTTTTATCTTTTAAGTGGGACGGATCTCCTATAAAATGTAATGAAATAGTTAGAATTAAAGATGACACAGCATCCTGAATTACTTCACCATTTTCATCATATATAGGTTCACCTTCATCATTTACTTGAATTGAATTTAAGATTTCTAATTCAATCAATTTTAATTGGGATTTAGGAATGTCTTCATGTTGTTTTTAGTGAGATGATAATCCCACCTCGCTTTAAGTTGGCGCGGTAAAGGCCAGCAATTTAAGATTTCTGGCTTATAGTTTTATCATGAAATGATTGACTTGTGGTTTTATAACATTTGCCAGCCATTGTCATTTTGTTGCACTATGTTCCATTCATAGATTGTTGAAGCATTATATTTAAATTGATTTATGGTATTCGGTTTATCAATTGTTGAAGCATTATATTTAAATTGATTTATGGTATTCGGTTTATCAATTATACCTAAATCTGGAGCTCTATTTACTATTTCCCCATGATGATTTATTGGATTTAATTCAAATTGTTTTACATCTTCTGATTCTGGTTCACTAAGTTCAGAATTAGAAGTTTTTTCTAAATTATTTATATTTCGTGATGCTTGAGGTGTGTCAAGAGCTACTGGTTGAGTAGTTGCTGAATGCACTTCAAGTTTACTTAATTGATCTTTTAATAATATGTTGGAACAACTGGAAATTCTTGTTTATGAAGACTTTGTTTATGAGACTGTGAAATGTGATATGGTTTAAAAACATGAGATTGAATTTTTTCTTTACCTTTTACACTTTCATTTACAATGGGTTTTTCATTTAGTATTAAATTCGTCATACCTAATTTATTTTGTTTGAGTAAAAGTTTACAAAATTTAGTTGTGTGCCCTATTTTACCACAATGATAGTAAGTTAAGGGTTTTAATTTTTTAGATGAATTGTTCTTCAATTCTTTATTGCATTTACAAACTTTAGCAGTATGTCCTTGTTTACCACATGTATAGCAAGTTAAATTTTTATACGATTTTTTAATTGATTTTTTCTTATATTTTCTATGCGATGTAGAGGTTTGTGTGTGATCATTTTTACAAAGTGTGATTATTTTTTACAAAATTATTTGTGATTTCTTAGACATGTTACTGGATTTTACACCCTTTAACAGTATTGATTTTCTTTAATTAAGTTATAACAATCAAAAAAGAATTTTTTATTTGCCATTTTGCCTATTATTTTAGGTTTATAGTCCTAAATATTCAGATTTTTTAATTCTTGCAAAAGGTATAGTCTAAATATTCAGATTTTAATTCTTCAAAAGTATAAGTTTTTAGAATCTTCTTCATTTTAATTAAGTTGTTTATTTTAGATACTTCTTCAAGTAATTCGTTTTCAATTTCTTCTTTACTAAGTATATTTAATGTTCGAGGTATTCTAGTTTCTATTTCATAATAAAACTTAGAATTTTTATAGAATTGTTCTTTAACTGTAGAAACATTTACTGTAGAGATCTTAAAATCATTTTTATCAGGAACAATTACTGTAGAAATCATCTTTTCATTAATAGCTTTATTTATATCCTTAAAATTTGATTCATTGCTACTAATAATCCTTTTAAATTCTGAAGATGCAGAATCATCCGATTTATTACTACTACTTAATCTACATATGAAAGGATCCATTTTATAAAATAGCATAGATTTTAATGATAGTGATCCGGTTATACTACACTAATCTAAGTCCGGTTATGATATCTCAAGAATTCGGCCAGGTTATACCCTTCAACTGCCCTACCAATTGGGACTTACACACGGGTTCAAAAATAGGCCACGTGATTAAAAATATATATATATTTTTAATGGAGTGGGATTAAATTCGAGAACTTTTCCCACATGCCTAACCTGCAATGTCGACTGAGTTTATATTAATTATCTTTTAATTACAGAATATATTTTTGTTTATCACCGGACATACCCAAATGCACAATTAAGGTTACTGATCAAAATCATGGAATGAAATTCTGTGAAAAAAAAAAAATAATAGAAAGATGCTCATAAAAGACTGGGCCCAGGTAGAGGTGGAACAGAGTTTTGGACACAAGTTCAATGGGCCCTTCACATTCAATTTTTCAGCCTACTTTCTGCAATTGCATCTTCTTAAATTATTGTCATCGTATGAAATTAGAACATCAACACATTTCCAACAGAGTACAGTGTACAGACCCGTTAATTTAAATATATTTATAAAAATATATTACTCTGGTACATTGCAACTAATGGTTGGTTGTTATTCAAAAGAATTGTTAATTTAAAAAATATCAATACTCTCATTTCCTTTATTTATTGTTACTGAATTTATTGCATGTATATATTTTTATAACCATGAATTTGCATGTAAGAAGTAGAAGAGCTTGTATCTAATAAGTTTAAGAACAGAGAAACTTTTTCCTCCATGAATGACGTAAAAAATTTACCTTATTACAGGAAAACCATTTTCCTTATAATTTTTGAAAAATTATGGGTGTGTTCAGCTGTAGAAAATGGAGTAATTTTCTAGAACAATTTTTCAAAAAAACTGAAAAAACAGAGTTTTGTGATCAAATCAGTCAATTTTTTATTTGGAAAACTAGAAAATAATTTTTCAGTTTTTTAAAATTTAACTAAAATTTGGAAAACAGTTTTAAGTTGTTTTCTAAATTTTTCCTTTATAACAAAAAAAATATGTTTTTCAATTGTTTTCTATTTAAAAAATGACATTTTCATAATTAAAGTTATAATATCTGTAAATAATTTTTTCTATAAAATAATTTTCAAAAATTAAAGTTATAATATCTGTAAAATAATTTTTTCTATAAATTATTTTCATTTGAAAAAATAAAAATATTAAATAAAATTTCTTATTATGCTTTAATAAATAATTAATTTTTATTATAACAAATAGATTATATCCTTATATTTTTAAAAAAATTACAAAATGATAGACAAATAATAATATTATTATAAAATAATCAAAATTTATAAATAATCAATAATAAAAATTCAAAGACTTTTACGTAAACAATTTCTAAATTTATTTTATATTATAAAAGCTATGAATAATATTTGTGGAGTTAAATTAAAATATAATTTTTTATTGTTATTAAGTGAACGTATTTTTTATTTTGTATTTTTTAATTTTTATTTTTTAAAAAAATTATTTTCTTAGAAAATAGAAAACAGAAACAGAAAACTGTTTTGAGTAAACAAGCGCAACTATTAGACTATGACGATGCTCATGGGTCGGGTACGAAGCCGGTTATAGAACAAGTGAATTTGGGCCCAACACGGGCTGGCAGTCCAGACTCCAGATATACAAAGCAGTAAAGATATGGTTAAAGCTATTTCAGAAAGGACAAATTGCGTTTTCTTCTTCTTCTTCTTCCTTTTTTTTTTTTTTTTCCTTTTGGCTGTTTTTGCGTTAATCTGTCTCTTTTCTGTCAATTTCGCCTGCTTTTTTTTTTTTCTTTCCCTTTTCTATTCTTCTACATCCTTTTTTTTTTTTTTTTCCTTTTCTTTTCTTTCATGTTTAGTAACATATAGTACGGTTCATTGTTCTTGTTTGAATGGTTTGATTTCTCTCCCAATTACTATCTACTGATATGAATTTCTTGATCACATCCTAATTAAACAAAGAATGATATTATCATTAAGATAAATCATCATTATCTAATAGTACCAGATAAAATAATGCAGATTTCACAATTATTCAATACTGCTCCTCATATTAACCAAAAGATGGAAACCACATAGCTCGCGGTTCACAATTGTGAACTCACAAAAAGATCAACTGAAGTAAATAAAAGAACTTACAGCAAACCTTTCTTCTTCTTCTTTTTTTTTTTTTTTTTTTTTTTTTTTTTTCCTTCTTCTTCTTTTTTATTTTTTTTTGTTTTATTTTTTTTTTCTTATAATTTTTAACATATTTATTCACACATCTAACAATATGTACATATGCTACGAGAACATAGGCTGCAATGAACTTGTTAGAAAAAAAAACCTGTCTCCAGCTTCTAGCTTGCAAGGAAAAATATAAAGAATCGCATCAAATGTAAAGAAATGAATTAGATCAACTAAACAGGAAGGACTAGTATAAAATATCTAGCGCCTCGAACAGATTTTTCACAGGAAGTGATTAAAGAATGTAATTCTTACGTTTACAAAATGTTGCCTCGTCTGCCGATTTCCATTTCTCAAATTGAGAGAATTTTAATTAACTTGAGCCTTGAAGATTCTAAGACTTGTGCATCTTCTTGGAGTGAGAGGCAACCTTAGCTTCAGAAGAGTTGACTTTTTTTTCAACGTTTCTCGTGAGTTATTTTTCATTTCAACTTCTCTTATATTGATATTCACCAGGTTTTACAGTATAAATCCTATTCCACCATATTACTGAGTTCCTAAAATGATACTAGCAAAAATGTCAAGTTTTTTTTTTTTTTTTTTTTTTTTTTTTTTTTTTATAATTTTTACATATTTATTCACACAATATGTACATATGCTGAACATGGCTGCAGAACTTGTTGAAAAAACCTGTCTCCAGCTTCTAGCTTGCAGGAAAAATAAAAATCTGCATCAAATGTAAAGAAATTATTAGATGACTAAAAGGAGGACTAGTAAACTAGCTGACAGATTTTCACAGGAAAGATTAGAATGTACTTACTTACAAAATGTTGCTCGTCCGATTTCTCCAAATTAAGAATTTTAATTAATTGCCTTGAAAGATTCTAGACTTGTGCATCTTCTTGGAGGAGAGGAACCTTAGCTTCAGAAGAGTTGACTTTTTCAACGTTCTCTTTGTATTTTTCATCAACTTCTTTAATGTTTCCCCAGGTTACAGTATAATATCCTATTCCACATATTACTGTTCCTATGATACTGCAAATGTCAAGTTTAAAAGCTTAGCATTTTAAAGTCTGTTTAGCAGTAAGCACTGTTTGAACTGTTGTGGGTAGAAGTTCTATATTGAAAATATTGATTACATATCATTAATGAATTTTTAAAACAACTGATCTGCTTTGCAAACTAAATGGTAAACAGATTACGATCAACTACAGTTTTTACCTGCCATAGTGAAGGCTATTTGCGAAGAAGCTAACACCGAAATAGGTTGCCCAGAAAACCCTAAAGGGCTGAAACAAGGGCACATAAAATGGGCCCTTCATGCGTGTAAACAAGATATGAACATTGCTACGAACTATACTGTTGAAGATTGCCTATTTCACCAGAAATATTATATTTAGTTATGCAGATTCATATAGTTAAGCAGATTAAGTAGATGCCATATGCATGTACTTACTGTCAAAACAATGAGAAGTAGATCCATATTAAGCTTTAGCTTCCAAGCTTTCAGGTCTCTCTCCATAACAAAAGAGAAGATTGCACATTGAACAGTCCCAGCTAAGCTATAAAAAGCGGCTATTTTCATCACTTGGGGATAATGTTTGACAGTTCCCATCTGACCAAATGAGATGAAAATATCAAATTACATATATTTTTTTTAATTCGTACCCTCAACTGCAAATTAAAGAAAATTCAATGATAGCTAGTTAAATAATTGTACCTGGATAATGTTCCATATTGAAATACATAAAGAAGAAGCTGCAAGCAATAAGCCACCAAGAACCCAATGGTCTGGTGTTGAGTAAAAAACAAAAAGTTTCTGTTTCTGCATAAGTTTAAAAGAAGAAGATGAAGCTTCTTGTACGAATGGACCCTTGTAAAAATCTACCACTGCTGCTCCTATGATTGATATCAGCGTGCCGATCACTTTATAATGGAAGCTTGAGCTTCTCCAGTTTAGCTTGATCCTTCTGAAATATTAAATATTAATTTGGTCCACAGTTCAGCTCAAGCATAATTAAGGATAAACAGTTTTCTAACTTTAAATAATTAACGGATATTATTAAAAATATAAAATTTTAGATTACTTGTCTTTAATTTCATATTATATTTTATATCATATATATAATATAATTTTATATTCATATGATATACTATTAATTAGTTATAAATGAAAATTTAGAAGTAATTAGTTATAGAAATATTAATTTGAGCCAAATTTATCAACTTAAAAAAAAAAAAAAATTTGTAAACGTTGGGATAGGATAGAAACTTTCCTATAAAAATAACGTTAAAAAAGGCCTTAAAGCTAAAAGAAATATACTTGCTTTACCTATACTATCCATAGCATAGCAGTTTAGTGAATCCGCGGTTGAAGTTTCGCTCTAAGAGGAACCTTAACCAGTCTGTGAATCACTGGTTTTAGACCCGATCCAATTTCAAAATTCATTTTGGTTATGGTTTCGGCACTATACATATTTTTCATTAGAAAAAAAAAATTAGAAAGACTTTAAGAAAATACTAACAAATTTTATTCACGAAAATTTTAAAATAGTGATAAAAAGAAAAAATATATGAATGTTAAAAATACGTATAAATAAAAAAGTTATGAATGTTAAAATAATTAAGTATCAATAAGCAATTAAAAAAAATTGTAATTTTATGGTAAACATATATCAAAAAGTTATTAATCAGTCTCTTTCAATTTTTATTTAGAGTCTCAATTTGCTATTTGAAAGAGACTCAATTTTGAAATTTAGAAAGATAATTAGAGTCTTATAAAAAATAAAAACAAAAAGAGATGTATTTAAGAGCATTATTATATAAAAAAAACTTAAAAATTTTAATTCAAATAGCAATAAATCACTATTAATTGGATTTATTTAATGAATCACAATTCGTGTGGATCATATGTTCAGTCAGCAGTTCAGGTCATATTTCAGCCAATTAGCATACACCTACCATTACGAAAATAAGATTTTTTTTTTTCTTTTTGGGGAAAAGTTTCTTCCACAAAACAAAAAAAAATCTCTCCGTCAGAGTTGTCGTTTACTTCTACATAACTGTTTACGACCCACCGTTTGTACAGTGATTGTTTTGTTAAATTAAACTCATTATCTTTTAAGTAGGACAGGAAATTAACAAATAAGAAAAAGAAGGAAAGAATTGAAATTTGGAAAAGATCAAAAGGTAAAAAAGAGACAAGCATTCATCTGATACATATAACATAACTAAAGAAATTTTGAAAAATCGAGCACAGAACACATCTATGACTGAAAGAGAAATGAACTAAACATTAAAAAAAAAAAAAAAAAACATAAAAAAAAAAAAAAACGATAGACAAGGGAAAACCTGAAAAAAAAAAAAAAAAAAACGATAGACAAGGGAAAACCTGAGAAAGATGGCGAGGATAAAGGAAAAAGCAGGTATCAAGAGGCCCATTGCACATACAACTATTGGGGAACTGTAGCTTAGACCAACAAATAAAAGATTCTGGGATATGCAAGTCCTACACAAAAAGAGAAAGATTAAAACAACCATCCATGGCCATGGGCCTACAAGATTTTTATATCTTTAGCAGCACATAATATATCCCAAATAATTCCCTTCTAGATACTGCATAATATGCTCAAGAATCCAGTATTATCATAATCAGAAACTTTATTACAGAATCTTGAGAAGATAAAAAAAAAAAAAAAAAGATGCTATGTGTTACGCATTAGGAGTTTGCTTGACAGAAATATACGAACCCTATCAAGCCCAAGAAGAAGAATCTCAACAAAAGAGGCAATGTGAAGAGTGATTTTTCTGTCCTGCACCCATTAATAAAACCAAAATAAGAAAAGTTGGATACTGATATTTATGTGTACAAACAAAATAACAAAGCAAAAGGGAAGTATTTATAAACCTTTCCCTGTGATATAAAAAGGAATAAGGAAGTAAAATCAAAGTGGCAAGCCCATTTGTGTACACAACAAATACAAAAGGACTCAATCCACCAGTCATGGCTGTCTTAGCCAATATGGTCAGTGCTATTGTGCAACCTTCCAATATCACCATTACTGCAAATGGCATTATTTCTATATCCTTATAATTAACTGTAACGCCCATCTTTTTTCTCGATCAAGAAACAAGAAAGATCTTGAAAATGGCAAGAGAATACTACTGCAAGATTCTCTTTCTTGCTGGGTATTTATAGTGTGACAGTGACGAGAAACAGCTAAGACGCTGATATAATCAGAAAGAAAGAGAAGATATAAAAGAAAGGTAAGGGTAACCCTTCACAAGTTGATGAGGCTACTCCAAAGAGAAAAAGCTACTCGTCTTTGCCTTAATCTGTTTTGTAAGGGGGAGAAATGTGACGTGGCATGTCTGTTCTTTTAGAAATTGATTTTTGGATCAAACCTTGTGTATTGTTTTTCTTCATTTCATCACTTGCTTTGATTTTACTACTTTAAAACTAATTTAATGTACTAATGTCCAAAATTATGTGAGGCGGACATTGAGAATGGTCCCACCACCAAATGAGTAATATTATTACTCTATTGCTCCACCAAGCTAGATAATCAATAATAATGGCCCCACCTCAAAAACAAACATTTTTTTATTATTTTTATTTTATGATTTCGAGATTCTTGTATTCTGGTTCCACACTCCTAGTCTTGGTCTGTAAATAATTCAAGAATCAGCTTTGGTTAGAATAAGGTGGTCAATAGTTGTTGGATGTGGCAAAATTACAGTACCCAGATTAGTGGATAACAACTAATTTTTTAGGAAGGGTCAAGGGTGTCGCCGTCAATTAATTTCACCAATAATTAAATATTCAGCTCTAAATCAGCAGCTTCAACTCTTTGTCTGTCTATGTATACATAAATAAACTTGACTCTTCAACTATTTTTTATTGTTTGAGATTTGAGAAGAGAATGTCTTTTGGTATGAGATAATGTTATATACACAAAATATATTACAAATCTGCATTTAGTGCTGCTACTTAAAGAGATTACAAGTACTAATTATAGGATTATTAAGCTATTAGCCATAGCAATTTCTTCTACGTCCATCTCAAATTGTCACTCATAATAGTAAAGACTAATAATGGTTTAAAACTTCTTCAGTTGTTTCCTGTTGGAGATAACAGGAGACAGTTTAAACTGTAAATCATATGTTTCTGTAAGAATTTAATAAGGGTTTGCATCAGGTCCAGGTCATGATAATGACCCCTTCAAATTAACATTCCATATTTTGACATAGAAAGTCAAAGCAAAGAAAATATGATGTGCAGAGAAGAGCATATCCAACCTGTAAATTGCACGCGTGCAAATTCTATTCAAGAGATATCAGATTAAATTCAATGATAATGCTGGCCATGACTATGTTATAGTCAAGAAAGAATAAGATACATTTCCAATTAAAAATATAGTTCAAATGTGGAAATTTTCAACATCTCTTATAGACAGTAAGCTGACCCTGAGCATTAGCTGTCCAGCTCCATTTCATTCCTTACCAACTTCCAATAAGCTTGCAGGCTCAAAAACTTCATTTTGAATCCCAGTGAAGGAGTTGCAAACATTAAACAGAAACTATGTATCTTGCTATAGATAATATATACACTGGACACATATCAACATTGCTAATGTTGTCTTTTTCACGTGCTTGTAGCTTTGAAGTGCCTTCCATCTCTACTTAAACAGAAACTGTGTATCTTGCATATTCTCTGAGGACTTTTCCCTCTTTCCTGCTTAAGAGATAAGACAGATAAGAAGAGCAAATATTTAAATGTTGATGATATATTTTAATTTTTATACAAAATCAAACATAAACTATCATGAAACTGACTTTGCACAAACTATTATAAAATTAAAGAGAAGAAAAGAAATATAGGAAAAGCGCCGACACATTGCTGAGAAAAAAATATTGTTAGAAATACAAAGTTCATTGAGTAAGAGCCAAGAATCAAAGACTGTCTCCTCATGCACAGAGGCGTCGGATAACATCAGACACTTATCTTTCAGATTGCCTCTTAGTTCTTGCCCCATTTAATATCTCTGAAGAAGTTAGAAAGGGGAAAAAAGGAAAGAAATAAGAAATGCCTATGCACATATGGCTAGAAGCGCAAGCTGGGGCCAAATAAAACGCTCTGCTAATGATTTTTTTTTTTTTTTTTTTTTTTTACTTTAACTCTTTCAGATTGCTCGCTCATTAGTTCTTGCCCATTTATATCTCTGAGAAGTTAGAAAAGGGAAAAAGGAAAGAAATAACGAAAATGGGCCTCTAAATGCACATATGGCTAGAACGCAAGCTGGGGCCAAATAAAACGCTCCTGCTAATATGATTTTTTTTTTTTGTTCTTTTTTTATTTTTTAATATTGAATGCACCAACTTCCGTGTAATATGGTTGTATTCAAGTATTCACATGAAGGCCAGAGAATGGAAAAGATTCCAAGCCTAAGATGATATTACTTTTTTTTTTTTTTTTTTTTTTTTTTAATATTTGCACCAACTTCCTGTAATATTGTATTAGTTTCACATGAAGGCCAGAGGAATGGAAAATTCCAGCCTAAGATGATATTACTTTTATAAACTATATTACAGCTTATCTGCAAATGGATTATCCATTAGAGCATCGTTCCCATTTCCAATCCTGAGTAACTCTACATCTCTCTCCAGCATTCCAACCCAAATCCACATTTTACCTTGAGCAATCTAATGCTATCTATGTATATGATTGCTAAATCAGGTTAATTATAAATATGAAAGATTATGAATGTGTTAAGTATTTTGAACCAACTAACTTTTAATTAGCAACTAATTATAAACATTTCAGAAATAGTAACACAACAAATCAACCCAAGGTAGAAAAGTAACATATAAACCCAAACTGTGGGGTGAATGAGGCAGGGTTTGCTAAGGCCTTAACCCCATATAGCACGCACACCTACATTCCTTAGACTGATCATTTATCCAGGGGGTTGAACCCAGAAATAAAATCAAACCAGGGATACCTTACCCCTCAATTTTTAAGCAAAGCAGGTCTTAATGTGAATTGTCTTTTTCCTTTGTTGTATGTATGTGTCACACATGAAATCAAGATGAAGGAAATGGAATTACCCATTTGGTCTGGAAAAGGATATATATTATTTTGGTCGCTGCATAGTGCTTCTATATTTCTTCAATATAGCCTTGCAAGAGGGGGACTTTTTGGCTGCTTGACTCAATGGTCTTTGCTCCAGCATCTATACCCATCTTCTGCTCATTGGCTTTCCCCCACAAAACCGAATAGAACCCAATAACTATAACGGTTGCTCCGGCTAAACTGCATAGTGTTTAGATTAGGAAGGTGCTATGTCCCTTGTATTAGTATATGAAAATGACTGAATAAAAATATAACAAGATAGGAATAAATCTAACTCAACAGCATGATCAGTCTAAATATATCATAATTGACAATAATGGAAAAGAATGTTTAATTTAAGAAACCTACCACCCAAGATACAAAGTATCCCCTAAAAAGAGGATGCCCACAGCGGCTGCAATGACAATGCCCAGGGGCTTGAACATGGAAATAAAAACAGGTCCTGTCTGTCGCAGGCACCATGAACAAATGCCAACTTGGAATGCAGAGCCAAAAACTCCCTACATTGTAGACTTGTTAAAGGTTTAGACTCATCAGTTGCTGTCTACAATAACATTTATATTGCAATTGGATAAGCCAACTATTGCCAAGCTGAAATACACAACTAAAATTGGCTAAGTTGATACATTACAGCTTAAATCACTATCTGCAGATTAGATTAGATAAAGTATGTAGATCCACTATCAGTACATTGAGTTTAATTACATACCGAGTAAAGAACAGCAACCAATCTTATATTTGGTCTCAAGCTCCAAGCAGAAGGATCTCTTTCAATAATCAAACAAACTATTGCAGACTGAATGGTCACAAAGAAGCAGTAGAAGAACACCACAATGAGCTCTGCGGGGTATTTCTTGAGGATAAATGCCTGAAAGATTAAGAGTATATAATAATAATACATAACATTTTTCAACTGGTTTCCCTATTCTGTTTTTGACATGCTTCACCTGTATGATGACCCATGAAGAAGTCATAACACAATCCACTGCAAGCAGCAATCCGCCAATAACCCAATTTGACAGTTGCACGAGAAGTCCATGAGATGTGTTTAAAGGAGGTGTCATCAGAACTGGGGGACCTTTATAGTAGGTTAAAATGAATGCACCTCCAACCGAAACTATGGTTCCTATTGATTTAGCTAGTGTACTAGAGGTTCTCCAGTTAAGTTTTTCCATCCTGAAACCAAATAATTGATTAATCAGGTCATCTGCATCTCTAATTATTTTATTCCTATCAGCATTCCTAGTTGTGTAAAAAGGGATTTACTACCTTACCTGAGCATAACTAGTGTTTAAAGCAATACTTTATCTAAACATTTAGTTATGAGTAACCATTTTCATTTCTTTTATTCATTTTAAGCAAAAAAGAGAAAGTGTTGGATAAAGAAAGGAAATCAAATAAATTGAGACCATGAATTTAGGAAATCAAATAAATTGAGACCATCAAATAAATTGAGTCATGAATTTAGGAAAATTTAGGAGATTAATGAAAAGCTGAAAAACTCCAACCTAACCTCATGGAGCTTTCCTTGGAAAACATATAAAGCATTTAATTTCTTCCATCATGGGTTCCCAGCTAAATGAGTAACTATAAGATGAACTATGAACAGAGAAGATAGGATGGAAGAGCCAACTCAGGCAAAATTTTCCTTTGCCAACACAACAAAAAACCATCCAATTTGTAGCAATAGGGCTTGAAGGACTTACCTTAATCTAAAGAGGACTTTTCCTTGAAGGCAAACTTTTATTTGGTAACTTATCTCAAAGAAACTAATTGAGTAACTACAAGACAAATTATGCACAGAGAAGACAGGATGAAAAACCAACCCAGGCAGACTTTCCTTTGCCAACAAACAAAAGCCATCCAGTTTGTAGCAATAGTGCTTGAAGGACTTACCTCAATCTTAAGAGGACACAAAATGTCATTGATTTTGCTAAAAGGAATAGAAGAATCTCCAATGAACTCAGCATAACAGGCAACTAAAATGAGACTCTCTCTCTCTCTCTCTCTCTTTCTCAATGTCATTGATTTTGCTAAAAGGAATAGAAGAATCTCCAATGAACTCAGCATAACAGGCAACTAAAATGAGACACTCTCTCTCTCTCTCTCTCTCTCTCTCTCTCTCTCTCGCGAATAGAGCATTCACTTTCAAAGTCTTTGACATCCCAAAATCAAGAGCATTTTGCATGAAAGACTTGGTGGATTTTAGCTCTTAGCGATGGAAAATAAAAAGCATGACACAGAAATCTCTAGTTTACATTTAGGATTTATTCATGAACCAAGTAGGACACTAGGATGTGAGCCTGTAAAAGGGAGACATGATGACTGAAAGCAACTGAATGAGGAAATTCCGCTTATGTTGCTTCTCATACATAAATTTATGTACCTGTGGTGTGGGCTAATATTATGAATTGTTATGTTAAATTGGAAACTAAACATTCTGATGGCAACTAATGTGAACACATGTTCAAGGGAATAGAATGAGATCATACTTTATTTTTCTTCCTTTAGATGTTTAGAGGGATAGTAATGATTTGGTGTTTAAGAACCACTTTCCTACATGTCCAAACTTAAAAGAAAGAACTACAATAATTCAAGAAAAATTACATTTCATCACATATTTTTGATATAGCAGATGAAAAAACTTCAGTTATCATTGCTTCAAATGCTCGAAAATCAAGTACTTGAGGATGGAAGAATGAAAACATTTCTCTTCCCAATTGGATATTCACATTGAAATATTGGCACAAACATAGATGAGGGAAAGATTTAAATGACGGAGTGATTTTATAGATATAGAATACTATTTACAATAAGACAGTCTTGCCAATCTTGGTTGTTTCTGTTTAACTGAAGCAGAAAACATGGTGATAAAACTAATGACTCCAAGTATGACAAGTTTAGATTATTATCAAATTCTTATACTCAGACTTCAACATAGAAAGTATGATTTTAGTAATTCAGTTGTAAACCAACACATTATTACTTTTATACTCAGACTTCAACTAATCCCTCTAGAGACCAAACCTCCATTTCTCCAACCCCTTGTCCCCCTTACTTGGCATCTCTTTTTTTTTCCACTCTGAAGGAAACGTGCTAGCATCATTTATAAGATTATTTTCTCTCTGAATTAAATAGTTAAACAATGGAATTTGTTTCATAAATTATCAATATATCTTCAGCAACAAAAATAGGGAAATAAAATGGGGACCTTTTCTATTACTACAGCAAGTAATTATAATTCACAGTAATTAAATCAAACAGTAAGAAAATAATGAGAAAATCCCAACCTGAAAGCAACAGCAAGTATGAAGGTAAGACCAGGAACGAGATTGAGCATAGCTGTGCCAAGTGTAGGAGAGCTGAGATTAATCCCAGCATAGCCGAAAAAATTTGCCAAGCAACTGAATTAAACAAATTCCAGTAAAACAATAAAAAATTAGAAATTAATTCAAACGAAAGTAAACCCAGAAAATAAAATTGATATGGGTATTGAAACAACATACCCAGAGAGACCAAGCACGAAGAATCCACATATAATTGGAAAGGTGAGTGGAGGCCTCTCTGATCTGCGAAACAATTTCAAACAATAAAAGTGCATGCAAAAGATTTTAGCTTTATGGGTATCTCAGAGAGAGACAGAGGAGTACCTGTGGAAAAGCAAAGAAGAAGGGAGAAGAATAACAGAGGCAAGAGCATTAGAGTAAAAAACAAAGATGAAACTGCTCATGCCTTTTGACATGGCTATTTTGCTTATTATCAGAAGCCCAACTTGTGCACACTCCGCCATTATCATACTCAGAAATGGAACTGCTGCTTTCGTTCCCATTTTACTCTACAACACTTCAACAAAAATGAATTCCCCAGAATCTACTTTACTCTCTACTTGGTGATGTCCAAACAGCCACCGAATCCGACATAATACAACCAGTTAATTACAGTGAATCTCAATGGCTAAAAAGGCATCTTTGCCTGATTCCCCACTGGCCACTGCGTTTTGTCTCTTCCATTTTCTTAGAAAATGGTACGCAAGTAGTGACGTATGGATGTTGTACTGTGTATTTTATTTGCCTTGTTTTGGAACGTACAGTGCTTTGTACCAAACCCAAAAAAATAATTGCATCTGATTTCCTCCAAGAAGATAAGAAAATAGTTTCGTCAAGAAAAAGAGAATGCGGTGTGCTCACTTCTAATATTTATTTATTTATTAATTGGATATGGCGTTCCCATTGCAGTCGCCTTCATTGCATTTCTTCACGATTACTGTTCACCCTTCCATTAATTCATCCATTCATTCAGAGACTACTTATCATTAAAAAATGGATATAACCTTCGGTAAGGAAAAGATTACAATGCCACAAGCCAAGTAGAAGAGAGAAAAGAAAATGCATTTCACACTCATTTGAGCTATATTGGGATTAATAGATGCGAACGATATTGTGGGGATAATCTTTTCTTTTGAATAACTCTCATTTGAAATAGTGAAAGTTTTGTAGATGAAAATTTCTGAACTGGATATATCTTTAGCCTTTCATATTAAATGAAATGAGAAGAACAACAGGATTATACTTAATCATGTGAATTGATACTTTTTTAATTACTTCCCATAAATATTGGCGGGAATTAATTGAAACTTTTTAACATGACTTTGTATTTTAAGGGTAAGACTTGTAGAGCGATAGGAATGTGGCCAATGAAGTACACTATGATAAGAACAACAGATTATACTTAATCTATGTGAATTGATACTATTTTTAATTACTTCCCAATAAATATTGGCGGGAATTATTGAACTTTTTAACATGACTTTGTATTTTAAGGGTAAGACTTGTAGAGGGCGATAGGAATGTGGCCAAATGAGTGCACTAAATGATGGCTCGACCGCTTTTCTGTTAAGATAAATTTTTTCTGCAGAATTGCTTATATTTCTTCAGTTTTAATTCTGGGCAGCAGATGATACCTTTCGCCGGACGAATTCAGAAACTCCTACACCATTACGCTGTCTTTGACTTTCCTCATAGCTTTCCCACAACAACCATGTAAAATCCAGTAACAATAATGGTTCGCTCCAATTAAAGCTGCAACAATTTTAGAAATTATCAAGTACATGGTAAATCCTCTATTATGTCTTTATCCTAATTTCTTTCATATGAAATTAACTCAAGTACAAAAATTTTATCATTTTCCAATTGTTCCGAAGCCAATTAACTATCATACCAGAATCAAGAACGTCTGATAAAGGATTTTCATTAAAAAATGTCTACCTTCCAAGAAGAAAAGTGCATCTTCCCTAAAAACATAATATTGTCATCTGAAATATACTGGCAAAAAGAACTAGCCAAAAGGCTTGAAGCATGGACACATATACGAGGCCCAGTCTTGCTCAGGCACCAAGTAATTAAGCTGATACGAAATGCAGATCAAAATAATGTGCCTGCATGTTAAAGAACATAAAATCTGATTAAATCTGTTAAGAAGTTTGGTAAAAATAAATTTCAAAACCTTAATCATGCTAATGAGTAATACGTATATCCACTTACTCGCATAAAAATGGCAAACAAACCCATCATCAGGTCTCAATTTCCAAAAGCACTTGTGTCATTAAACTACAACCAAAGCGAAAATTCCAGACCAAAAATTGTTCAAAGGAGAAGGCAAAACACATTATTGTAAGCCAAACAGGCACGGGACTTCTCTTAGGATAAAGGCCTGGAAAAAAAAGAAAAGAGAATCATTGTTTGTTTTAATTTCGTAATAAATGTTTATGAATGGTATTTATTTAAAACAAACACTCAAGAATAAATACTGCTGATATCCAAGAGAGTTTTGGCTGCGAAGGAAAACCCTCCAATTATTCGCATAAAGAGTGGTGAGGATATGAAGTAGCTGACGATGAATATGGGAAGTACTACTTCTAAAGAGTGATGGGGCCTTTGTAGAAAGAATGACCAACGATATGCTCCACCAATTGATATTATGGTTCTAAACAACTTTTGGCAATGGCTGCTTTTGCTCCTCTGGCAATCTACTTCTTCCAACCTAACTTAATTAATTAGTGATCTAGAATTAATTTCTAGAAACATAATTCAATAAACAAAAAGGTTTGCTAGGCAAATATGTCTTGGTCTTTGGCTACGGCTTTTGTGGAGTGTTAATAACATACAGTGAAATGGGGTTTCTCAATCTTGAACATGCTTACAGATATTTCAATGGGAAGAACGACTTACAGAATTTCAATGGGAAGAACGATAAGGAAGACATTTCCTTTTCCAATCCTACTAATTAGCACTAATACAAAGCACAAAATAGGAAAATTTCTTGTCATGTTAAATTGAAGCGTAAGATTTAAGAACTAAGGACACCTCTTCCCTAAATTTCTATGGAATTTTCTACCAAAAATCACTTATCAAATACAAATATTTTTCCTTTTTTAATTAAATAAACCAATTCTCTCTCTTGAGCAAAAATAATACGAAACTAAAGAAAAACCTGAAAATAATGGCACATATGAATGTAAAGATTAAGCATGGCCGTCCCAAGTGTGGCAGAGCTATACTGTAAACCAGTATATCCAAAAATCTGGATACCAAGTCTGAAAAAGAAAATGGAAATCAATAACTATTGCTACTCAAAATTTGATTCCTTTAGAGAAAAAGATAATTTGTTCTCTAATTACAGACCCAAATAGTGAAAGCAAGAAAAAGCTGAAAATTAAGGAGAAGGTGAGTGGAGTTCCATCTGATCTGCAAATTAACCACAATAAATAAATTAACATACTTGTATTAACAGAGATGCGAAGACCTGTGGACTATTAAGCAACAAGGAAGAAGAACAAGTGTAGCAATAATATCAGAATAAACAATAATGACATATCTGTTCATCCCTTGAGATAGAGCTATTTTGGTTATTTCCATAGAGCTTACTTGAGCAAGAATTGAAATCACCATTTCAATAAAGGGCAATACAGCCTCTTTACTGCATAACCTTAATCCCATATCTGTAACAATAACTATGGTATTGATGAACTTAGCATTTTCAATCTAATCAGTGCTGAAAGATCTGATACTGTAAAATGAGCCTATTCTTTTGCTAGTCCTTATCTTTCTTTCCAGTGGTGTCTTGAAAAGTTGACCTTTGATTAATTGTGATGGAACTAAAGAACTTTTACCTTAAATTTTTTTTGTTTTAATTTATTTTCTTTAAATAATAAAAAATAAAAATAAAAGTATAAATTAAATAAGACTTTACCTTAAATTTTTTTTGTTTTAATTTATTTTCTTTAAATAATAAAAAATAAAAATAAAAGTATAAATTAAATAAGACTTTCGAAAATAAAAAAAACTTGTAAATTAACAGATATCAAGCATAAATAATACAGTTTTTGACAGCATTATTCAGAAATTGAAATCTTACTCTTTTTTTTTTTAATCTTTTTCACATTATTCAGGAATCAAAATTATTGTCTCCAGATGAAAATTTCAATTTTTAATCATTAGAGTAATCTACTGACCATAAAAGTAAATAATAATTAATTAATTAATGATAACATGCCTATAATAATTTATGAATTATTTGATAAATTGAGTGAATTTAAAATTTTCTTATTTTAGATTTAAAAATGATTGAAAAAAAAAAAAAAAAAAACTTGTAGCGTGCTTTATTTTCCAGTCACGTTCAGATAGCGCATCTTGACCAGTGTCCGCAAGATTCAAGAGTCAATCAAGACCACTCAATCCAAATATCGTATTGTAACGGCAAAGCTGATTTTCATTCCAATAATATTGGTGGTGGCCCATTTTTTTTGTTTGTTTAATGATAAAGTCATTTACGTTGAAAAAAATAAATAAATAATATTATGGAGTGGGTGAGACTTTGATCGACAAGACGTAAATTAACTCTATCAATCAACTCAATTAGACTTTGTTGTTATTGATTATTTTAAAAACCAAAGTTGTTAACTCCAAAGACTAATTTGATTTTTTTTTTTTTTTATTCGATGGAAGGCCTAGTCTTATTCTAATTCCAGTAATTGCCTGCATGTCACAAAACATAAAGCCTAATTAATATTTTAGAAACTATGCAGTTCGTCTAAAAAAAATAGTTTATCTTTTTTTTCATTATACTTAATTCTTAAATTGTCTACTCTATTCTTATTATATTTTATTTTATTTTTAATAAATTTCGTTAATTTTTATTTATTATTTTAATATAACGTGTTATTTAAAATGAACATAATAGAAAAATTATATGTATAAAGTCTGATTACTTTTTAAGATAAATAAAATATATATTGATTTGTATGAAAATAAAAAGTGGACTATAGGTCTATAGGAATATTTTTAAAAGAAAAATTCACAGATTAACTAGTTACTGGCTAAGGAAATATCATATAAAATTGAAAAATTAAGAAACCAACTTGTAATACAAAATTCAAGAGTTAAACAAGAAATATTAAAGATATCATAAATCAATATTTATTTTTATTCAGTGAAGCTTACAAAATTACAAGATCATACATAAGCAAGCATAATAAAATAAGACATAATTACTCTTGTTTTAGGAAGGAAACAAACTTTCTTTTCAACTCCAAAGCCTTGTCATGGTTAGGATTATGCAAATGAAAGCAATGTTCTTCTTTTTCATTCTCAACAAGTTCACAGCTTCCTTTCCATCCACTTTTCTGCAACTTCTCATAATAATTCTTGCCCACAGTATTCAAATGGTCTTTCTCTGCTACAAAAATCAACAACTTTTCACATCCAAGCTTAGCAATATCCTCTACAGGCGGGTTCATTCTAGGATCATCCAATCCCTTATTATCTTGACACATGTAAAGCCACATATGATCATCTTCAGTACCGCCAAAATATGGATGCACTAAGATCACCCCAACCACATTAACTCCATCCGGTAACCCGATTGACCCGATCCGGAAAGCTAAAGTATGGGATATGTTACCTCCTGCGCTATCTCCACCTATAAAAACTTTCTCAAAATCAACGTAATCATTCAACCACTGCTCAGGTCCATTTCGATTAACATGAGACGCCACCCACTGGAGTGCTGCCCAGGAATCTTCATAGCAAGCGGGTATGGGTCGGGTCGGGAAGAGACCATATTCAATAGAGACGACAAGAACATTAGCCTCATTAGACAAAGCAGAGCAATAGTTGTGGTATTGAGGGGAAAACGCAGACAACATCGAAAACCCACCGCCATGGATGTAAAACAAGAGAGGGAGTTTCTGATCAGAGTTTTGTAGTTTTGGCAAGAAAATACGAGCAGATACTGGAGGATCAGTGGAGATGGTTACGTCTTTGGATTTGAGTCCAGTTACAGAGTCATCAAGTGGTGGGATTGTTTCCCAAGTTGGCCTGAACATGTGGATCCGGCCATCTTTGTAAACCCTGAAGAATCTGAACTCATGGGCAACGTCATTATCAGTTGACGCCATTGAAGAGAAAGGAAATGAAGGGTTTAGATTAGAAGCAAGAAATCAAGTGGTGGAGATTGTTTCCCAGTTGTGCCGAACATGGTGGGATCCGGCATCGTTTGTAACCCTGAAGAGATCTGAGCTCATGGGGCGCTAGGCATTATCAGCTTGGCACTGGCATTCGGATATGAGAGAGAAGGAAATTGAGAGGTTTAGAGATTTAGAAGCCACGTGAGATAACTAATGAGGATGAAAGAGTTTCTGTTTGTAGTGTAGGTTTTTGGAAGAGTTCGAGAGGAGAGGCCTTTTTATTTGTAGGAAAGAGGCGGCATGAGCTACCGTGTTTTTAACATAATGTTAATGAAAAATACGGACTTAATTAGCAGTCGGGTTCGCAAAGCGCTCTAGCTGAGCAAGAAAGACAAACGTATTGGGGTATATCGTTCAGCTGGCTTCTTGGACTATGAAGTCGCGAAAAACATAAAAGTCAATGTAAGAAAATTGAAAGACAAGAGGTAAGTGTCTGTTTCGCAAATCAAAGGGGAATGGGCTTTGATGTTTGGAAGCTGTTCAAGAACTGAGATAAGAGTCCGGGTCTAAGTAACGAAGGAAAAATATTATTTAAGAAGTTATAAAGATGGAATCGCAATGGAATTTAACGGTGAGAATTGCGTTAGCATACAAGTGCATATGGTATACGTACAGAAGATATTTGTCTAGCACATGTAAAGTGTGGCTATTATTTCTGTATGTTGGTCTGGCCATGAAGAGTGCTCGTTTTGGGTGGATGTGCATACTGCATGACTGTAAGCTCCAGCTGCCTTTTCCTGTCTGCGCCTTGTTCGCTGTTAGGTAGGTCCACGATAGACTAGGCATAAAAACGCAGCTGGCGATCACAATATCAATCAACAGCTGCGATACCGGATTATTGAACAGATTTGCATTTTACTCATTCGTTGCGTTAGAAGTGTTACCGTGCATGAGTAAAAAGAAAGAAATGTAGCCTCCAGAGAAAAGGCAGAGGTGATTGATTACCGTTATGATAGAGGGTGATTCCCGATGAGGATGGCAGGCTGCAACTTATTTCGCTAAGGGCCGTATCAGACGATGAGAAAAAACATAGGCATGCGTGCTGTGGTGTGGGTCCACATCATTCTACAGCATATGGTGTCACTGCCTTAACGCGCGAATACATTCCCACAACTGCCTAGAAAATGTTAGAGAAAAGAATTTCAATTAGTGTAATGAGATTGGAGACAGCACGTTAACTATTCTCAATTAATATATGATTGAGACAGACATTACAAGCGCAGGGGCTTCGTGATTATATTCTGTACTGAAATAGTAGATTAGCACGCACAACCCATGTCAGTTCTTAACGCTCCAAGCACGCAGAGATCGTTTGCTTATAGTTAGACGGAAACTACTTGCAGATAGAATTGCTGGCGAAATTAAGCTTAATGAAAATTTACTAAGTTGATTAGCACTGTGTTAGTTGGTTGTACTTGCTTCAGTAATTGATCCGTGTCCATATGATATCAGAAGCTTGTTAATTAAATTTCCGTAGCAAGCAATTTTAGATTTTATTAGTTGATTTTGTGTCTAGACCTGTAAAATTAGCATAGTGACACTTTCATGCAGTAGCATTGGAGGTTGCGAGGAGAGAATATCCTCAAGGATCCAATTTCCTTCTTCTGAAAAGTAGTAATTTGATGATTCAAGCCAGCTCAATGAGGGCATGATAATGAGAGGGTAGGAATCATCATAGCATGAGTTGCAGAGAGAAATCCTCCAAGGATCCAATTTCCTTCTTCTGAAAGTAGTAATTGATGATTCAAGCCATCAAATGAGGGCATGATAATGAGAGGTAAGCCCTTGTAGAAGGTCACAGTAAATGCCCCACTAATTGATACCACAGTTCCAATAAATTTAGCTAAACTACTTGAGCTCTTCAAGTCTAGCTTTTCCATCCTGCAATGTCGAAAAAACATAAATTAGACACGGAAGACAGTATATTCCGTTTTGGAATATGTTTTGATCTGGTGTCCTTAGCAATATCTAAAGGTCACAACTTTGCATTATTTCCTCACTAAATATCTATACTTTTGATGATAAAATAAAACTATCAAGGACAAAAAGCAATAATTTTTTCCCTTCCTGCATTATTTTCTCCACTGGACTCCAATTTTGTGCTCGAGCAGAGTAGATAATTCAATTTTTCAACTCTAAAATAAAATCCCTTTTACTATAAAATAAAAAGAGGAAAGTAAAATAAAAGTTAAAAAAAAAAAAAAAGAAACCTGAAAAGGAGGGCAAAAATGAAAGTAAAAGCTGGGACGAGGTTGAGCATGGTTGTGCAAAGAGTAGGAGAACTGAACTGTACACCGGCATAGTTTAAAGCCTGTCCAGAAAATCTGTTTCAAGAACTAATTGTTATAGCAACCGAACCACATTTAATTCTGTTTTTAAGCAAAAATAACAAGATAAGCAAAGATTAATAAGCTTAAATTTTACCAACCCAATTAAGGCAAGCAAGAAAAAACTTGAGAGGAGAGGAAAACAGAGTGGGGGAAGATCTGATCTGTTGAAGAAAACAATTAACAATAAAAGTAAAAAACAAAGTTTCTTGATCTTATACGTACATTAAAAAAATGGAGATGAAAACAAAAAAAAAAAGACCTGTGGGAGAAAATGGATATAGGAAGAAGGATAAGAGAAGAGAGAGCATAAGAGTACACAAGAAGTACATGTCTGCTCATCCCTTTAGACATCGCTGCTTTGCTAATTACCATATCACTTGCTTGAGCCAAAACTGCCATCACCATCCCCAAAAACGGCACTATGCTCCCCATTGCTTGCAAAAACCAAAAAAAAAAAAAAAAAAAAAAAAAAAAAAAAAAAAAAAATCTTTCTTCACACACTTATGGAGGGTGAAAAAATGATTAAGCAATAGCCTTTCTTTATGTATTTCAAATTAATTTATGACAAGAGACAGGTAGCTTTCGTTTATCAATTTTTTTATCCAATAGATTCCTACCAGGATTAAAGCTTTTGTGAAATTTTAGATGGTAAAGGAAAAGAAATTGCGGTAAATTTTAAATTACACCGAATTAAAGCATCTAATCCCCAGCTCGGCAAAAATTAAAGCTTTTCTGTTTTTTTTTTTTTTTTTTTTTTTTTTTTTTTTTTTTTTTTTTTTTTTTTTTTTTTGAAAGGGAAATAAGCTTTTCTGTTGAGTTGAGAAGAAAAATAATTTGTCCTTGTTTTATAGAGCAGTTCATGACTTACTACAACACGAGGGAAATTTTCCCTCTCGAAAGAGGGACCTCGAGGAAACTCGGAGAGAATTAAAAAAAAAAATTTGCTTTCAGGAAATTTTACTAATTTATTTTACTGTTTCAACAGAATTGAAGAATCCTGGTCATCTAATTAATGCCATAGATATGGAAGATTTTTAAGGATTTATATATATATATATCTCCATCGCTTTGGCGAAGTTCGTTTGTGGGGTACATGAACAAAGAAAGCACAATAACAATGAAAGCATATCAGTAGCAATAAAATGAAAATTATAAAAGGGGCATTGAAATACTGACCTGCAGATTATTGCAGGAATACAAGTTAAGGCTACAGTTTAATCATTGAGAGTAAGAAAGTTATGTCTACCAAATATCTGAATCTGTTAACATAGGTAATTCCCACGTGAAATAATAAATACCACGTTCGAAATAATAAATATTATACCAAAAATGTATTAATTCATCCTGAAAGATTCCGCACCACCAAAAATGTATTAATTCATCCTGAAAGATTCGCAACTAACATTTTTGAGTATCAAATTCAAAGAGACAGAGACCCCTAATATCAGTGACCGACGGCTTTTTAATACAAAATGGAATTAGCTTGAGCTATTGTTGATTGCAAATCACTACTGTTGTTTCGCAGTAGAGGGATCTTATGAGAGCTCGACTCCAAGTTAGGGTTTCCTTTGCCTTCTTCATTCATCTTTTCTTCCTGGGATTTTCCCCATATCACTGTATAAAATCCAAGGGCAATAATAATACCTCCAATCACACTGCAGTGATAAAATTCAATCAAGTAAATGTTATTTCCTTCATAAGCTTTTTTTTTTTTTTTTTTTAAATAAACAAGTTCGAAAGTAGATTTCATCACATTATAGAATCTTGAATCAACTAATATTGTTTTCTTTCATGAATGTGATTATTTGATAGTTTAAAACTTTCTTCATTTTCCCTACAAAGAACTCTGCAAATATGAGTCAGTTAAGTTTTTCTCGATTCTTTTCCTTTTTGAAGGAAAAAGAAAATTGTACGCTTGCACAGAAATATACCTTCCAACATAAAGGTTGTCCCCAAGAAAAAAAAACCCCATGAAAGTTGCAATAACAATCCCAAGTGGTTTAAACATGGCAGTGTAGAGAGGTCCTTTCTTGTGGCATGCCCAAGCATGAACTACATTACGAAGTGACAGTGCAAAAATTGCCTACAGAATTTACAAGAACGCCATGTTACAGCAAAGTGTAACAAAGAACCTGAATGAAAAGGGGACAGAATAATAATTCTTTGAAATAGCCATATGGTATATACTTACTGAGCATAAAATAGCTATCAATTCAACATCAGGCTTCAGTATCCATGCATTAGGGTGTTTCTCTAAAATTAGAGAGACTACAGCAGATAACAGAGTCACGGAGATGCAAGTTAGCACCGTTACCATCAACTCCGCAGGGTACTCCTTCAGAATCCAAGTCTGGGTAAATATTCCAGCGGGAGTTAAATGTCAGATTAAATTTATACTTTGCATCATGCAAAACCAGGTAATTAAGTTGCAGATTTAGCTACTTTTGCATCAATGCAAAAAACCAGTAATTTAAGTTGCAGAATTTTAGCGTTTTTACCTAGGACAATATCAAAAACAATGCTTAAGCACAAATGCACCAACTGCACAAAAAAATTGCCACCAATAACCCCAATTTGACGAGAGCAAACAGCAAACTGGTTCATCAAATTTGGATGCAACATTGCAGATGAGAGCAACAGCAACTGTTCATCAATTTGGGATGCAACATTTGCAGTGATAAGTTGCCCTTTATACAAAGTCACAATCAACGCTCCTGCAACTGATACTATAGTGCCAATTGACTTGGCTTGGCTACTTTGTAATCTGAACTCTAGCTTTTCCATTCTAAATTAACCAGTAAAGCATTAATCAATAGTCATAATCATTTTTGATGGAACATTTATTGGTGAGGCAGAAATTTACTACTTTAGAAAAGAATAAGATAGGGGTATCAAAATCCATTAGGGATAGCCTCACTAATTCTGCCATGACAACTTTACACCTATTTCTTAATTAACTAATTATTTCCCAGAAAATTTGACCAATTCACAAAAGGCCAACTGTCCTATTATGAAACAGATTACTGGCCGTGAAGACCCGACCTAACAGCGTGGCCCAAACGTAAGGCAACTCCTCAAACCTGACTCCTCCATTACGTCGTTGGATTGCCCACCGGAGTTCATGGAACCCGTCAACAGAATCGTAAACCAGAGATAGAAACAGAGCACTAACGAGAGAAAGAGACTGGTGAAAATGGAAGGAAAGAGGAATTGGGAAAAGGAAAGGAAAAGATTGTTATAAACTTGGGACAATCACACCTCAAAAGATTGCATTGCTATTTGTACTTTTTCCCTCGGTCATAATTTTTTAACTGGATAACGCAGCAAGTCCTGGGTTAAGGCAGCTAGTGCACTAAACAACAAAACAGAGAATCTAAAAGATGAAACTCACCTGAATATTACAGACAGTAAAAAAGTGAAAGCCGGTGTTAGATCAGTCATGGCTGTGCACAAAGTTGGAGAGCTATACTTTATTCCAGTGTTAAAAAGCATCTGAATACTAAAACTGTACAATACAAAACCCAGAAATAATATTCTTTAATAATCAGCGTAATACTGATTACTGTTCCAATTAATTTTAATTAAGCGATGAAATATAAGAAAACCTGACAATACTCAGAAGCAAGATTCTAGAGAAGATGCATGCATTAAGTTTGGGGGGAGACCTTTCCCTGAAACAAATTAATAATTAATACAAATTAAGTAATTCTGGAGTCCTAATCAACGTTAAAAGAAGAAGAAGAATAGCCAGTAATTTATTACCTGTAAAAGATGAAGGAAGAGGGAAGAAGGATGAAGATGGCAAAGGCATTTGAATAAACTATATACTGGAGTCCTAATCAACGTTAAAAGAAGAAGAAGAATAGCCAGTAATTTATTACCTGTAAAAGATGAAGGAAGAGGGAAGAAGGATGAAGATGGCAAAGGCATTTGAATAAACTATATACACAAATTGACTCATGCTTTTGTTCATGGCTGCTTTCATGATGGTGCTTATGCCTACCTCCGTGAACTCTACTCCCACCATGGCTGCTGTTACTCCTGGACTCCACATTCTTTAATTAAGAAGCAAGGAAGAGAAAGACTTGATTCGGTTTTTATGATTCAGATTTCCGATGCTCAATGTCCTCTAATGGCAGCAATGTCTGTGATGGTGTTGTTTTCTTATGTGTTTGGTAGCTAAATTACGATTTCCTGTCTATAGAGATGTTAAAGTTTAACTTATTAGATCTTTAAAAGTCAATAACATGGGCCGTATTTGCCCTACCTGCCAGTGATTTCCTATTTTCATGATTGATTGATTTATTAGTAACTTTGTAAAGCTGGTTTGAGTTGAGATGTATGGAAATTTTTGCTTATTTTAAGTCAGGAATTTTGGTATAACTAATAATATTAAAATTTTTTATTTTGACATGAAAGAGAGAGAGAGAGAGAGAGAGAGAGAGAGAGGTAAGGCTCTTCGTTATTTCTTGAAAAGTTTGAAAATGAGAAATAATAAGGTGGAAACGAAAAGTCTACAGTATTACAGTACTATTCACCTTATAGAAACCAATAAATTGTCAGTGGTAATAGTGAGATTAATTCTGAATCTTTAACTTATATGAATGCTCTAGAATCTGCAATTTCCCTCTGTATTTTCCAAAATCAAAAGAATCGAACACTTGTAAAAATCTCAAACATAAGATAAGCGAGCCTTTTTAAAAATTAAAATTTTGATCGGTGTGAAATTTAGTTCTCATCATTATACCATTCCAAGAATATGCAAGCTTTGCCTTTTATCAATAGGCCCATCTAATTCAAAGTTGGAGTGTCAGTGGTGATGGTGACTGGTGAGCACTGTGCAATTGCTTTCGAGATGGGTTATTATTATTGTGATATACAGAGCGGACCTACAGTTAGTCATGAGTTCGACGTAAAATGTTTTGTTGAAGAGAGGAATTTTGATATAAAAAATATGTTAAAAATGTTGATTTTGACATGAAACGCAATGACATAACATATTGGTGATGTTGACATATATTATTATATATATTTGATTATAAATTGGTCTTATTCAACTTTAAAGGAGAAAAAAGTTAAAATTGGTGTATAAATTATACTTAAAAGATTTTTATTTTTTAAAACTTAGCTGTAAAATTCTTAATTTATTGTTTCCTTGACATTTTTTTTATCTCGCATTAATTAAAGATAAGATTATTATTCAAAATATAAGAATCGATAATCCTCGTCCTCTTCGCACTGAGGAGTGTGTTATCTCCACATTTGATATACGTAGCTTTCTTTATCAATTTTTTTTTTGTTTCTATTCAATGTCAACTTAGCTTAAGTGATTGTTGATTCCAAATCAGTATTTTTGTTTCGCAGAAGAGGTATCTTATGAGAGCTTGACTGCATGTTTGAATTTCCATCATCTTCTTCAGCCATCTTTTCTTCCTGGCTTTTCCCCATATCACCGTATAGAATCCAAGAGCAATAACAATACCTCCAATTACACTCAGTGATAAAATTCAATCAGGTAAAATGTTATTTCCTATTAAAATATCACCGATTAATTTAGTCTCCACCAAAATGGGCTGTTATAATAAGCCAAGACTTGGGAAGTCTTAAGCCCAAAGTTGGATGTCCAAGCCCACATTCTAGAATACTCCACTATTCTCCAAGATGTAATGAAAATATCTTACCTAACTCTAGAATTTTTCTTGTAATTTAGATCGTCCAATTTTGTAAACAAATCTTAGTCGTATATTGAGGAGGTGGAAATACCTATAAATACCACCCCTCCTCTCAATTGTAAAAACCAAGCAAACCAAGCAAACACCAAGTAAGTAATCCTTTCCTTAAAACTTTGTAAATGTTTGCTTCTTATTAATACAATATTATTTAGTGTTTTGTGTTAGTATTATTTTGGTTGCCTTTCCCGTTATTATTTTTGGTGTTATAAATTATTAATCAATCTTGGAGTTTATCACTGGTATTATATTTAGTGTTTTGTGTTAGTATTATTTTGGTTGCCTTTCCCGTTATTATTTTTGGTGTTATAAATTATTAATCAATCTTGGAGTTTATCACTGCGCAATATCCAACAAATTGATATCAGAGCGTTAATCCCAACATTTCCTTCTCAAGCTTTACAAGAAAATACAAATTTGAACTAACGAAAATGGATTCCATCGGATTATAGAATCTGAATCAACTAATATGTTCTCTTTCATGGAAGTGATTATGTGATAATTTATAACTTTCTTCATTTATCCTACAAAGAACTCTGCAAATATGAATCAGGTAACTTTTTCTCAATTCTTTTCCTTTTTGAAGGAAAAAAGAAAAGCACAGAAATATACCTTCCAACATAAAGTTTGTCTCCAAGAAAAGAAACCCCCATGAAAATTGCAATAACCATCCCAAGTAGTTTAAACATGGCAGTGTAGAGAGGTCCTTTCTCGCGGCATGCCCATGCCTGAACTACATTAAGAAGTGATACTGAAGAAACTGCCTACAGAATTTACAACAACATCAAGTTACAGCAAAATGTAACAAACAACCTGAATGAAAAGGGGACAGAATAATAATTCTTTGAAATAGCCATATGGTATATACTTACTGAGCATAAAATAGCTATCAATTCAACATCAGGCATCAGCATCCAAGCATTAGGGTCTTTCTCTAAAATTAGAGGGACTACAGCAGATAACAGAGTCACAGAGATGCAAGTTATCATTGTTATCATCAACTCTGCAGGGTACTCCTTCAGAATCCAAGTCTGGGTAAATTTTCCAGTGGGAGTTAAATGTCAGATTAAATTTATACTTTGCATCATGTAAAAACTCGCAAGTTGCAGATTTGGCATAGTACCTGGACAATATAAAACAGAGCTATGCACAATGCACCAACTGCACAAAAAATGGCAACAATAACCCAATTTGAATAGAACAACGGCAACTGTTCATTAACTTGTGATGCAGCATTTGTAATGATAGGTTGCCCTTTATACAAAGTCACAATTAAAGCTCCTGCGACTGATACTGTGGTGCCAATTGACTTGGCTTGGTACTTTGTAATCTGCATTCTAGCTTTTCCATTCTGAATCCACCAATAATCAAGCACTAATCAATGGTCATCATCATTTTTGATGGAAAATTGATTGGTAAGTCTGAAATTTACTACTTCAGAAAAGAATAATATAGGGGTATCAAAATCCATTAGGGGCTGGCCTCACTAATTCTGCCATCACAACTTTACACCTATCTCTTAAATTAACTAATTATTTCATACAAAATTTGATCAATTCACAAACAATACATGTGCTATTATGAAACAGATTATTGTCCATGAAGACCCGACCAAACAGCTTGGCCCAAACGTAAGGCAACACCTCGAAACCTGACTCCGCAATTGCGTCCTCGGATTGCCAGCAGAGTGCATGGAACCCGTCAACAGAATCGTGCCGGTTTTGTAACCAAGATAGAAATAGAGCACTACGGAGAGAAAGAGGGTGGGGAAAATGGAAGGGGAGCGTTTAAAGAATGAGGAAAAGGAAACGAAAATATTGTTATGACCCTGGGACAACCACATCTCAAAAGCTAGTCCTGAAGATTGGAGAGTTCAAGTTCATATAAATCCCACGTTGAAATCCTATATACTTTAAATGTGAATCCAAGACAAGTCCCATACCTTGTCTTACAACTAAGATGCTAACAAAGTTTTGCCAGGGTCACGGAAGAAGAAATGCAAGTTTTTCCAGGAAATTTTTTTTTTTTTCTCTTTAATCAAATCAACTGGTACCAAACACCATATTTTACTATATTTTAATTACCCTTCCTTCACCTATATCCCCGTCCAAACAAAGCCTTGGTAAAAAAAAACCTAATTTCTTTTGCTAAGAAATACTAAAAACTTTTGATCAATGCGTACCAAAAAATTTGTTCAAATTAAAAATTTAAATTCAAATTATAACTAATAATTTTTAGTGGGTCTATAAACTTAGTTTAAGCAAGTTCATCCCTTAACACATAATGTCCCGTGTATTTGAAAATGTTTTCACGGATAAATGTATTGAATAATTTTGAAATGCTGGTTTAAGAAGGAATTTTGGTGTAAAATATTTTTAGAGAAGAATTTTGGTATAAAATATTTATGTATATTAAAGGTTGATTTTGACATGAAATGTAAAAATTCCCATAGTAAAAAACAAATCATTTTCCAAAATTTCATTCTAATTAAGACATACAAGTTCCAACTGATTTAGCTAAACCACCTGAGCTCCTCAGGTCTAGCTTTTCCATCCTACAATGTCAAAGAAACGTCAATTGCTAAATAAAATATAAAAGGAATTTTGGTTGTAAAAAAATATTTTTTAGAGAAGAATTTCGGTATAAAATATTTATGTATATTAAAGGTTATTCTTGACATTGAAATGTAAAAATTCCCATTAGTAAAAAACAAATCATTTTCCAAAATTTCAACAAATCATTTTCCAAAATTTCATTCTAATTAAGACATACAAGTTCCAACTGATTTAGCTAAACCACCTGAGCTCCTCAGGTCTAGCTTTTCCATCCTACAATGTCAAAGAAACGTCAATTGCTAAATAAAATATACGATTTGTAATGGAATATAAAGAAACCAAAAGTCTGAAGCTCAGGACACTAAGATGGCAGTATCTAAAGCCTAAAGGAGTAAAGGTCACAACTTTACATGTTTTCTTACCAAATATCTAAACTTTATTCATGATAAAAATGTTCACAGGCCAAAAAGCACTGGCAAAGAGTAATACGATTTCTCTCCTGCATTATATTTGGAGCTTAAAGTAATTAACGTTGGCCCCTCAATTACAGCTAAATTGACACATGATCTCTGTTTTCAAGAACTAACTGCGAAGTCGCTAACTTATGATTCTATTAGTACTTTGATCATTTCGTCCAAAAAAATAAGAGAGACAATGGAGAAACATAGATAGAGGATGTTTAAGGATTTAAAATAATATTTCCACCATTTTCACAGAATTCTTTTGTGGGGTACATGAATAGAAAGAGCACCCTAACAATGGAATCATATCAATAGCAATAAACTGAAAATGATAAAAGGGGCATCGAAGTACTGACCTGCAGATTGTTGCAGGACTACAAGTTAAGGCTACAGTTTAATCATTCAGGGTAAGAAAGTTATGTCTGTAATCAGAGAAATGAATCTGAGCAAAACAATAATTACTGTAGGTAATTCCCACATGATATAATTAATAACCATAAAAAAATGTATGTTTTCATCCTGTAAGATGTGAAAGATCTGTAACTAATAATTTGAGTATCAAATTCAAAGAGACAGACACCTAATATGAATGACCAACAGCTTTTTTATTACAAAAAGGATTACACATATTTCCTCAGCTTAAAATTGATATAAATCTACCTAATCAAGTTCCATTTTTATGTATTTCATGCAAAATACTATACAGTTGGGAATTTGTTCTGCAGAAAAGGGACTTTTGGGGAAGAAGACTCAAATCTACAACTCTCTTTGTCTTCAACTGTTTCTTCTTGCGTTTTTCCCCAAACCACAGCATAAAACCCAAAGGCAATAATAACAGCTCCTATCACACTGCATAGTAAAATGTGGGAAAAAAGATGAGAGAAAAAAAATTGAAACAGACAACATTGTTTTCTTTTATTTTCCCTTTCCTAACTGCTTTTGCATTCAGGATGAAGAGTTGATGATAATTAGTCCTGATAATACATAATCAAGTGAGGAATACTACCTTCCAAGATAGAGAGTATCCCCTATGAAAGATACCCCCATGAATACTGCAATAGCCATCCCAAGTGGTTTAAACATGGAAGTATATACAGGGCCTCTCTTATGACATGCCCATGTGTGAACAACACTTCGAAGTGATACTGCAAAAACTGCCTACAAAATTAATCAAAAAAATATCAAGCCATTATAAAATCCAATAAGAAGCTTATCGTGGAGGAAGAGTAAGTAAAAACTTCCTTCTCCACGCTCACCGAGAACCCAGTGGCAACCAACCCAATATCAGGCCTTATTTTCCAAGCATTCAGATCTTTCTCAGCAATCAGAGTAACTATGGCTGACAGGATAGTCACAAAGCAACAATTAATCAATGTAATGATTATCTCTGACGGATAGTCCCTTATGATCCAAGTCTGGAAATGTCAAAACAAAGATCAATTCTTGAAGTAAAATTATATCTAAAAATACGTTGTAGATATTTTGGTAATGTCTACCTGGATAATGTAAATTACAGCAAGGATAAAACTATGAACTGCGAGGAAAAAACCTCCGATGGCCCAGTTTGATGGAGGCAAAACAAGAATCTGACTTTGTAATTTATTAATTGGCAGACCTTTATATAAAGTTACAACTAGTCCACCAGTTATCAACATCATTGTTCCAATAGATTTTGCTTGACTGCTTTTGCTTTTCAAGTCCAGCCTTTCCATCCTAAAAAAAAAAAAAAAAAATCTAAGCCTAATTAAATATTTGCGCTCAGTATATCTACATAAACTGCAATGAAAAAGAAGGCTGCTGGTGATTAGTACTTGCCCTGAGATGACACCGAGTATGAAAGTAAAAGCTGGAGTTAAATCAATCATTGCTGAGGCCAGAGTTGGATTGCTGTATCCTATACCAATATATGTGAACACCTGACCAGCACAACTAAAAACTTGCAAATAAATTCAATAAAAAGATGAAAAGTTAATCAGACCTGCATTAATTAGTAGCGGAGAAGTTATATAATACCTGAGCAGACTAAGAACAAAAATTTTGCAAAGTATGGATAGTGTAAGCGGTGGAGCGATTCTTTTTCTGTTGAATGAAAGTAAAAATTAAGAAGAGATTCAAATAATTCTTGAAAGAATAATTAACGGTACATATACTTGCCTGTAGAAGATAACAGAAGATGAAAGAAGCAAGAAAATGGCAAGCATGTTAGAGTAAACCACTAGTATATAGTGACTGAAGCCACTGCTCATGGCTGCTTTGTTTACAGTATTCAAGCCAACATCCAAGAACTCTAATGTAAGCATAACTGCAGTTACTCTTAAACCCCACATTTCTCGCGTAGATTGATGCACATTACCAATACTCACAACGTGGGAGATTTCAGGTCCTTTATAAGGAAAGTGCATGTAATTGTTTTGACAGTTCACAAGGGTCAAATGCCTGCATTTTATAAAAATGTATCGCACGAGTTACTCCAATCCACTTGGGGGTTGGGAGACTTTGTACAGTGCTCTTTGACGCATATCATCTTTTTCGACCATGCATCCTTTTTTATCCTTTAGGTAAAGTACAGGTTTTTATTGGTAAAAGAGGTTGAAAATCAGGACAACCCATATTATTGACAAACTTAGATGTCTCATTCACGAAGTTTCCTCGAGTTTTTCCCCGTCAAGAGACCAAAATTTGGAGTGAAAATAAAATCACCAGTACAGGGCCACATAAGATTTTCATTTACCCAAATTTGTGATTAGAAAATGTCAATTAAGCTTAAGCCAGTGTTTTGCAAACAGTACTACATATCCACAGTTTTGTTTCCCAGAAGAGGGATCTTATGAGAGCTCCACTCCAAGTTAGAATTTCCTTTGTCTTCTTCAGCCGTATTTCTTCCTGGGCTTTTCCCCATATCACTGTAGACAATCCAAGGGCAATAATGGTACCTGCAATTACACTGCAGTGAAAAATTCCACCAAATAAAATGTTATTTCCTTCACAAGCTTCAAAAGAAAAAACAAAATTGAGGTAAATGAACTAAAAAACAAGATTCTGAATCAACTAAAAAACAAGATTCTACCCGCAGCAGATATCAGGACGACAGCTTTCAAAATCTTGGCAACAAGCAACAACAGAGTGGTTCTCGATCTTGATGGCCCAAATCACATGTGGTTTTAGTTGGGCTTCAACCGATATCTGTTTCCAAATCCATAACTAGGGAATGTAATGTGCCCCAAATACCATCTGAATCCAACTTTGCATTTATGGGCCGCTCTGTCTTCTTTCCCCTTCGTCAAATCCATGTTTGCTCCACGCTAACGACCGTTTATAAGACAAAAACCGCACACAAATCCAGCTTAACATATCTCAGATGGCAAATTACTTGTCTAAACGGCTCCATATTTACTCTTATAGATCAAAATCAATGACAATAAAATTTTTTAAAAAAATGTTCCCTTTTTTTTTTTTTTTTTTACACCGGTTTAGCTAAAATTTTCCCATGTCAGACGTTTTGACGACTGTATCACTAGGCGAATAGAAACGTTTGTCGACTGTATTACTAGGCGAATAGAGATCTGCTATACGGTCAAAGGAACTGTAGTTTTTGTCTTTTTTCAGAATGAAATAATTAAAAAAAAAAAAAGTAATAAGGTTCTAACATTTTCTTTCAAATATCTACCGAGAAGTGATAAAGAAAATAGCCAATATATTCATATATTTATCAAATATATGTGATTTCTTATTATTACATGCATGGATGGTCTTTTGATGAAAGAATTTTATAAATTTTTTTCTAAAATCTAAAAACAAATAATTGCAATATTTACTTCTATATGGATTGAATTAGTAATTCGTTAATTGTACTTGAACATAGAATGTAATTGTATATTTAAGTATAATCTCACGGAAAATGTATATATGACCGAACAACATGTTCAAATCTTCCGTAAAAAAATATCTAATTGAAAATAAAATAATAATAAAATTGAAATTCTAAAAATACAAATTTTACATTATTCGTATGCATACAATAATGCGTGATGAAGGTCCCGAAAGCAAACTTTGAATTGGAAGCCAATAATTGTTTCCAATATATATATAATTAATAATGTGAATCCAGAATATATTCTTTGTCAGTTAAAAAGAAAAAAATCCAAAATATATTGTAGTCTTAAGAGTGAACAAACAATAGCTGGATGCACAGTGGAGTATTAGCTGACATAGAAAAGTGCTGGATGCAATGAATAGCCTCTGCCAAACAGAGAGAGGACAGCCCTAAAAATTACCACACCAAACCCTTATTACATCAAATTCATCGTTTTTTCCAAGCTAAAGGTAGACTTGGATTTTGACATTAGATACTATGAATATACTACGTGCTTGTGTAGGGTTTTTAGATTGAAAGAAGATCATCAATTTTTGGAGGGTAGCCATCCTTTTTTCTTTTTCTTTGTCTTTTTCTAAATCTATTTAAGGCTATATTGCTCATTTCAGTAATTGGGTAATTATTTATTTTGATTATACGATCTAACCATTCTTTTAATATCCAATTGCATGCATGAATTGAACACAAATTGCTTAGTTTTTTTCCTTTTAAGTTTACAAAGTGGAGACTCGAAATTTCGAATTCTTGACTTCACAAGTAAAGTTCACTGAGAACCTAATTCAGATTATTATATTGCTAATTTAACAACCTATTAACAAATTGCAACTAGTTCCATGTATATGAATTTTTCTTCCCCTCATATTTTGATTCCAGATGGTGATGATGAATAATGGACGTAGATCAGTAGCAATACCTTTTCTTTTTACTGTTTATAGGCAGCGTACCTAGATCAGTAGCAATACCTTTTCTTTTTACTGTTTATAGGCAGCGTACCATTTTTTATAGGCAGCGTACCTGATTGAAAAACAAAAAAACTTGTACCGGTCGCTTTATTTCCAGTCACGTTCACATAACCAGCATCATTGACCGTCCCTTCAAGAGTCCAGAGTCCAATCAAGACCACTCAATATATCGAATTGTTAACGGCAAGCTGAGATTTTCATTCCATAACTTTGGTTGGTTGGCCCATCTTCTTTTTTTGTTTGAGTTTAAAATTGATAAAGTCATTATGGTGAACAAAATAACTAAATAATATTATTGGGGTTAGGGGACTTTGTTTTTATGACAAGACGTAATTAATCTAATCAAATCAACTTAAACTTAGACTTTATTGTTATTAGATTATTTTCTTCAAGTCGACACTTCACTAAATTTTACACAGATCATACATAAGCAGCATAATAACAATAAGACATAACTTACTCTTGTTTTAGGAAGGAACAACTTTTACAAAATTACAAGATCATACATAAGCAAGCATAATAAAATAAGACATAATTACTCTTGTTTTAGGAAGGAAACAAACTTTCTTTTCAACTCCAAAGCCTTGTCATGGTTAGGATTATGCAAATGAAAGCAATGTTCTTCTTTTTCATTCTCAACAAGTTCACAGCTTCCTTTCCATCCACTTTTCTGCAACTTCTCATAATAATTCTTGCCCACAGTATTCAAATGGTCTTTCTCTGCTACAAAAATCAACAACTTTTCACATCCAAGCTTAGCAATATCCTCTACAGGCGGGTTCATTCTAGGATCATCCAATCCCTTATTATCTTGACACATGTAAAGCCACATATGATCATCTTCAGTACCGCCAAAATATGGATGCACTAAGATCACCCCAACCACATTAACTCCATCCGGTAACCCGATTGACCCGATCCGGAAAGCTAAAGTATGGGATATGTTACCTCCTGCGCTATCTCCACCTATAAAAACTTTCTCAAAATCAACGTAATCATTCAACCACTGCTCAGGTCCATTTCGATTAACATGAGACGCCACCCACTGGAGTGCTGCCCAGGAATCTTCATAGCAAGCGGGTATGGGTCGGGTCGGGAAGAGACCATATTCAATAGAGACGACAAGAACATTAGCCTCATTAGACAAAGCAGAGCAATAGTTGTGGTATTGAGGGGAAAACGCAGACAACATCGAAAACCCACCGCCATGGATGTAAAACAAGAGAGGGAGTTTCTGATCAGAGTTTTGTAGTTTTGGCAAGAAAATACGAGCAGATACTGGAGGATCAGTGGAGATGGTTACGTCTTTGGATTTGAGTCCAGTTACAGAGTCATCAAGTGGTGGGATTGTTTCCCAAGTTGGCCTGAACATGTGGATCCGGCCATCTTTGTAAACCCTGAAGAATCTGAACTCATGGGCAACGTCATTATCAGTTGACGCCATTGAAGAGAAAGGAAATGAAGGGTTTAGATTAGAAGCAAGAAACAGAGGATGAAAGAGTTCTTGGTTGTGTTTTCTTGGAAGAGTTAAGAGGAGAGGCCTTTTATTGTAGGAAAAGAGGCGCATGAGCTACCGTTCTTTAGATAAATGTTAATGAAACTCCTGTTACTTAGCAGTCGGTCCAAAGCTCTACGAGCAAGAAACACAAACGTATTGGGGAATCTCAACAGCTCTGACTATGAAGTACGAACAAACAATAAAATTAATGAAGAAATTAATGACAAAAGTTCTGTTTCAAATCAACATGGCTGATGTGAACTTCAAAACTGAAAGTCCGGGTCTAATTAAACAAAGGAATAATATTATTTAAATGTTAGATGGATCGCATGGAATTAACGGTGAGAATTGCCGTTACAATATAAGTGCATATATACATAAAATCTGTCTACACAGCAAGTTTGTTTATCTCGTGTATGTTGGTCTGCAAAAGAGGCTCGTTTTGGGTGGATGAATCCTCAATGACTGTAACTCCACTGCCTTTTCCTGCCTGCTCTTCTTTAGCTATCCCCCACATAACAGCATAAAAACCAGCTGCGATCACAATAGCTCCAATCACACTGCATAACCATTATGAAATTTGCATTTACTCATTCGCTTGCTTCATTCGCTTGCTTAGAAGTGTACCTTGCATGGAGTAAAAAGAAAGAAAATGTACCTTCCAAGAAAGAGAGTATCCCCTAGAAAAATGATTCCCATGAGTGCAGCTGCAACTATCCCTAAGGGCTTGAACATAGAAACAAAAACAGGTCCGCTCATTCTTACACATAATGTAGTCATGCCTAACCGAAATACATTCCCAACAACTGCCTAAACAAATGTTAGAGAAAGAATTCTCAATTAATTAATGATTGAGACAGAATGATTGAGACAGACATTAACAAGCACAGGGCTTCTGATTATATCTTACTGAATATATTACAGCAACCAAACCCATGTCAGTTCTTAACCTCCAAGCACCAAAATCTTCTACAGTTAGAGAAACTACTGCAGATAGAATTGTTGCAAATAAGCTGTAAAAAAATACTACGATTAGCACTGATGTGTACTTCTTCAGTATTGATGCCTGCAATAATCAAGACTTGTAATTAATTTCCCGTAACAAAAGCCAATGTGCCTATTTTATTAGTTATTTTGTGATCTAACCTGTAAAATATACCATAGTGAATTATTTTGTGATCTAACCTGTAAAATATACCATAGTGAAGTCATCATAGCATGAGTTGCAGAGAGAAATCCTCCAAGGATCCAATTTCCTTCTTCTGAAAGTAGTAATTGATGATTCAAGCCATCAAATGAGGGCATGATAATGAAAGGTAAGCCCTTGTAGATGGTCACAGTAAATGCCCCACTAATTGATACCACAGTTCCAATAAATTTAGCTAAACTACTTGAGCTCTTCAAGTCTAGCTTTTCCATCCTGTAATGTCAAAAAAACATAAAGTAGACACGGAAGACAGTATATTCCGTTTTGGAATATGTTTTGATCTGGTGTCTTTAGCAATATCTAAAGGTCACAACTTTGCATTATTTTCTCACTAAATATCTAGACTTTTGATGATAAAATAAAACTATCAAGGACAAAAAGCAATAATTTTTTCTCTTCCTGCATTATTTTCTCCACTGGACTCCAATTTTGTGCTCGAGCAGAGTAGATAATTCAATTTTTCAACTCTAAAATAAAATCCCTTTTACTATAAAATAAAGACAGGAAAATAAAATAAAAGTTTTTTAAAAAAAAAAGAAACCTGAAAAGGAGGGCAAAAATGAAAGTAAAAGCTGGGACGAGGTTGAGCATGGCTGTGCCAAGAGTAGGAGAACTGAACTGTACACCGGCATAGTTTAAAGCCTGTCCAGAAAATCTGTTTCAAGAACTAATTGTTATAGCAACCGAACCACATTTAATTCTGTTTTTAAGCAAAAATAACAAGATAAGCAAATATTGATAAGCTTAAATTTTACCAACCCAATTAAGGCAAGCAAGAAAAAGCTTGAGAGGAGAGGAAAACAGAGTGGGTGAAGATCTGATCTGTTGAAGAAAACAATTAACAATAAAAGTAAAAAAAAAGTTTCTTGATCTTATACGTACATTAAAAAAATGGAGATGAAAAAAAATAAAAAAAAAGACCTGTGGGAGAAAATGGATATAGGAAGAAGGATAAGAGAAGAGAGAGCATAAGAGTACACAAGAAGTACATGTCTGCTTATCCCTTTAGACATGGCTGCTTTGCTAATAACCATATCACTTGCTTGAGCCAAAACTGCCATCACCATCCCCAAAAACGGCACTATGCTCCCCATTGCGTGCAAAAACAAAAAAATATCTTTCTTCACACACTTACGAGTGAAAAAATAACTAAGCAATAGCCTTTCTTTATTTTTTTCAATAATATGACAAGAGACAGGTAGCTTTCGTTATCAATTTTTTATTCATAGGAATTCCTACAGGATAAAGCTCTCTTGAATTTTAGATGGTAAAGAAAAAAGAAATGATAATTTTAAATTACACAATTAAGCATTTAATCCCAGTTGCAAAAATAAGCTTTTCCGTTGAGTTGAGAAGAAAATAATTTGTCCTTGTTTTATTGTGCAGTTCATGACTTACTACAACATGAGGGAAATTTTCCCCCTCGAAAGAGGGACCTCGGGGAAACTCGGAGAGAATTAAAAAAAAAAAAAAAATTGGCTTTCAAGAAATTTTACTAATTTATTTTACTGTTTCAACAAAATTCAAGAATCCTGTTTATCTAATTAATGCCAAAATTTATTGCAGTAAAGAAAAAAAACACAAAAAACAAAAGCAACCAAACTAGTCCTCTAAGCAATGCCATAGATATGGAAGATTTTTGAGGATTTATATATATATATATCTCCATCGCCTTCGCGAAGTTCTTTTGTGGGGTACATGAACAAAGAAAGCACCATAACAATGAAAGCATATCAGTAGCGATAAAATGAAAATTATAAAAGGGGCATTGAAATACTGACCTGCAGATTATTGCAGGAATACATGTTAAGGCTACAGTTTAATCATTGAGAGTAAGAAAGTTATGTCTACCAAATATCTGAATCTGTTAAGATAGGTAATTCCCACGTGAAATAATAAATATTATACAAAAATGTATTAATTCATCCTGAAAGATTTCATACCTGAAAGATCGCAAACTAACATTTTTGAGTATCAATTCAAAGAGACAGACCCTTAATTCAGTGGACCGACGGCTTTTCGGCTTTTTAATACAAAATGGAATTAGCTTAAGCTATTGTTGATTGCAAATCAGTACTTTTGTTTCGCAGTAGAGGGATCTTATGAGAGCTCGACTCCAAGTTAGGGTTTCCTTTGTCTTCTTCATCCATCTTTTCTTCCTGGGATTTTCCCCATATCACTGTATAAAATCCAAGGGCAATAATAATACCTCCAATCACACTGCAGTGATAAAATTCAATCAAGTAAATGTTATTTCCTTCATAAGCTTTTTTTTTTTTAAAAATAAACAAATTCGAAAATAGATTTCATCGCATTATAGAATATTGAATCAACTAATATTGTTTTCTTTCTTTCATGAATGTGATTATGTGATAGTTTATAACTTTCTTCATTTTCCCTACAAAGAACTCTGCAAGTATGAATCAGTCAACTTTTTCTCAATTCTTTACCTTTTTGAAAGGAAAAAGAAAATTGTACGCTTGCACAGAAATATACCTTCCAACATAAAGGTTGTCCCCAAGAAAAGAAACCCCCATGAAAGTTGCAATAACCATCCGAAGTGGTTTAAACATGGCAGTGTAGAGAGGTCCTTTCTTGCGACATGCCCAAGCATGAACTACACTACGAAGTGACACTGCAAAAATTGCCTAAGTATTTACAAGAACACTAAGTTATAGCAAAGTGTGAACTGCATGAAAGGGGGTTAGAATAATAATTCCTTGAAATAGCCATAAAGTGTATGCTTACTGAGCACAAAATAGCTGTCAATTCAACATCAGGCTTTAGTATCCAAGCATTCGAGTCTTTCTCTACAATTAGAGAGACTACAGCAGATAACAGGGTCACAAAGATGCAACTTATCAACGTTACCATCAACTCCGTAGGGTACTCCTTCAGAATCCAAGTCTGGTAAATATTCCAACGGGAATTAAATGTCAGATTAAATTTATACTTTGCATCATGTAAAACCAGGTAATTAAGTTGCAGATTTAGCATTTTTACCTGGACAATATATAACGATGCTAAGCACAATGCACCAACCGCACAAAAAATGCCACCAATAACCCAATTTGACGAGAGCAACAGCAACTGGTCATCAATTTGGTATGCAACATTCGAGAGCAACAGCAACTGTTCATCAATTTGGGATGCAACATTTGCAGTGATAAGTTGCCCTTTATACAAAGTCACAATCAACGCTCCTGCAACTGATACTATAGTGCCAATTGACTTGGCTTGGCTACTTTGTAATCTGAACTCTAGCTTTTCCATTCTAAATTAACCAGTAAAGCATTAATCAATAGTCATAATCATTTTTGATGGAACATTTATTGGTGAGGCAGAAATTTACTACTTTAGAAAAGAATAAGATAGGGGTATCAAAATCCATTAGGGATAGCCTCACTAATTCTGCCATGACAACTTTACACCTATTTCTTAATTAACTAATTATTTCCCAGAAAATTTGACCAATTCACAAAAGGCCAACTGTCCTATTATGAAACAGATTACTGGCCGTGAAGACCCGACCTAACAGCGTGGCCCAAACGTAAGGCAACTCCTCAAACCTGACTCCTCCATTACGTCGTTGGATTGCCCACCGGAGTTCATGGAACCCGTCAACAGAATCGTAAACCAGAGATAGAAACAGAGCACTAACGAGAGAAAGAGACTGGTGAAAATGGAAGGAAAGAGGAATTGGGAAAAGGAAAGGAAAAGATTGTTATAAACTTGGGACAATCACACCTCAAAAGATTGCATTGCTATTTGTACTTTTTCCCTCGGTCATAATTTTTTAACTGGATAACGCAGCAAGTCCTGGGTTAAGGCAGCTAGTGCACTAAACAACAAAACAGAGAATCTAAAAGATGAAACTCACCTGAATATTACAGACAGTAAAAAAGTGAAAGCCGGTGTTAGATCAGTCATGGCTGTGCACAAAGTTGGAGAGCTATACTTTATTCCAGTGTTAAAAAGCATCTGAATACTAAAACTGTACAATACAAAACCCAGAAATAATATTCTTTAATAATCAGCGTAATACTGATTACTGTTCCAATTAATTTTAATTAAGCGATGAAATATAAGAAAACCTGACAATACTCAGAAGCAAGATTCTAGAGAAGATGCATGCATTAAGTTTGGGGGGAGACCTTTCCCTGAAACAAATTAATAATTAATACAAATTAAGTAATTCTGGAGTCCTAATCAACGTTAAAAGAAGAAGAAGAATAGCCAGTAATTTATTACCTGTAAAAGATGAAGGAAGAGGGAAGAAGGATGAAGATGGCAAAGGCATTTGAATAAACTATATATAAAACTATATACACAAATTGACTCATGCCATTTGTTCATTGGCTGCTTTCATTGATGGTCTTATGCCTCCACCATGGAACTCTACTCCCACCATCTCAGAAGCAAGATTCTAGAGAAGATGCATGCATTAAGTTTGGGGGGAGACCTTTCCCTGAAACAAATTAATAATTAATACAAATTAAGTAATACTGGAGTCCTGATCAACGTTAAAAGAAGAAGAAGAATAGCCAGTAATTTATTACCTGTAAAAGATGAAGGAAGAGGGAAGAAGGATGAAGATGGCAAAGGCATTTGAATAAACTATATACACAAATTGACTCATGCCTTTGTTCATGGCTGCTTTCATGATGGTGCTTATGCCTACCACCATGAACTCTACTCCCACCATGGCTGCTGTTACTCCTGGACTCCACATTCTTTAATTAACAAGCAAGGAAGAGAAAGACTTGATTCGGTTTTTATGATTCAGATTTCCCATGCTCAATGTCCTCTAATTGCAGCAATGTATGTGATGGTGTTGTTTTCTTACGTGTTTGGTAGCTAAATTACGATTTCCTGTCTATAGAGATGTTAAAGTTTAACTTATTAGATCTTTAAAAGTCAATAACATGGGCCGTATTTGCCCTACCTGCCAGTGATTTCCTGTTTTCATGGATTGATTGATATATTAGTAACTTTGAAAAGCTGGTTTGAGTTGAGATGTATGGAAATTTTTGCTTATTTTAAACCAGGAATTTTGGTATAAAATATATTAAAATTTTTTATTTTGACATGAAACGTAATTGCATAAACATATTGGTGACATTGATATATATATATATATATATAGATAGATAGGTAAGGTTCTTCGTTATTTCTTGAAAAGTTTGAAAATGAGAAAGTCTACAGTGGTACAGTACTATTCACCTTATAGAAACCAATAAGTGGCCAGTGATAATAGTGAGATTAATTCTGAATCTTTAACTTATATGAATGCTTTAAAATCTGCTATTTCCCTCTGAATTTCCAAAATCAAAAGAATCGAACACTTGTAAAAATCTCAAACATAAGATAAGAGAGCCTTTTAAAAAATTAAAATGATCAGCGTGAAATGTAGTTCTCATATTGTACCATTCCAAGAATATGCATGCGTTGCCTTTATCAATAGGCCAATCTAATTCAAAGTAGGAGGGTCAGTGGTGATGGTGACTGGTGAGCACTATGCAATTGCTTTCGAGATGGGTTATTATTATTGTGATATACAGAGTGGAACTGCGGTTGGTCATGAGTTCGACGTAAAAATGTTCTGTTGAAGAGAGGAATTTTGGTATAAAAAACAAACATGTTTAAAATATTGATTTTGACATGAAAGGTAATTACATAAACATATTGGTGATGTTGACATATATTATATATATTTGATTATAAATTGGTCTTATTCAACTTTAAAGGAGAAAAAAATTGAAAATGTGTATAAATTATACTAAACTTAATACATGAAGATTTTTATCTTTTGAAACTTAGCTATGAAATTCCTAATTTATTATTTCATTAATACTTTTTTATCCCGCATTAATAAGGAATAATATTATTAATCAAAATATAAGACTTGGATAATCCTTATTGTCCATGCACGAGGGGTGTTATCTCCACATTTGCTATACGTAGCTTTCTTTATCAATTTTTTTTGTTTCTATTCAATGTCAACTCAGCTTAAGCGATTGTTGATTCCAAATCAGTATATTTTTTTTTTCGCAGAAGAGGTATCTTATGAGAGCTTGACTGCATGTTTGAATTTCCATCATCTTCTTCAGCTTTTCTTCCAGGGCTTTTCCCCATATCACTGCATAGAATCCAAGAGCAATAATAATACCTCCAGTTACACTGCAGTGACAAAATTCAATCAAGCAAAATGTTATTTCCTTCTCAAGCTTTAAAAGAAAATACAAATTTGAACTAACGAAAATAGATTCCATCGGATTATAGAATCTGAATCAACTAATATGTTCTCTTTCATGGATGTGATTATGCGATAATTTATAACTTTCTTCATTTATCCTCCAAAGAACTCTGCAAATATGAATCAGGCAACTTTTTCTCAATTCTTTTCCTTTTTGAAGGAAAAAAGAAAAGCACAGAAATATACTTCCAAAATAAAGGTTGTCTCCAAGAAAAGAAACCCCCATGAAAATTGCTATAACCATCCCAAGTCGTTTAAACATGGCAGTGTAGAGGAGGTCCTTTCTTGCGGCATGCCCATGCCTGAACTACATTAAGAAGTGATAATGAAAAAACTGTCTACAGAATTTACAACAACATCAAGTTACAGCAAAAATGTAACAAACAACCTGAATGAAAGGGGACAGAATAATAATTCTTGAAATAGCCATATGTTATATACTTACTGACCATAAAATAGCTATCAATTCAACATCAGGCTTCAGTATCCAAGCATTAGGGTCTTTCGCTAAAATTAGAGAGACTAAAGCATATAACAGAGTCACAGAGATGCAAGTTATCATTGTTATCATCAACTCTGCAGGGTACTCCTTCAGAATCCAAGTCTGGGTAAATTTTCCAGTGGGAGTTAAATGTCAGACTAAATTTATATTTTGCATCATGTAAAAACTCGTAAGTTGCAGATTTGGCATATTACCTGGACAATATAAAACAGAGTTATGCACAATGCACCAACTGCACAAAAAATGCCACCAATAACTCAGTTTGAATAGAGCAACAGCAACTGGTCATTAACTTGTGATGCAGCATTTGTAACGATAGGTTGCCCTTCATACAAAGTCACAATTAAAGCTCCTGCAACTGATACTGTGGTGCCAATTGACTTGGCGTGGCTACTTTGTAATCTGCATTCTAGCTTTTCCATTCTGAATTCACCAGTAATCAAGCACTAATCAATGGTCATTTTGATGGAAAATTGATTGGTACGAAGGAAATTTACTACTTCAGAAAAGAATAATATAGGGGTATCAAAATCCATTAGGGGCTGGCCTCCCTAATTCTGCCATCACAACTTTACACCTATCTCTTAATTAACTAATTATTTCATAGAAAATTTGATCAATTCACAAACAATACCTGTGCTATTATGAAACAGATTATTGGCCATGAAGACCCGACCAAACAGCTTGGCCCAAACATAAGGCAACTCCTCGAAACCTGACTCCTCAATTGCGTCGTCGGATTGCCAGCAGAGTTCATGGAACCTGTCAACAGAATCGTCCCTGAGATTTCAATTTTAGTTAGCGCAGATTTTCTGCATATAATTTGATATTTTTGTTATTAAGATTAATGATTTTAAGGAGTATTTTTAGGTCTTATTTGATTCACTTGTAAGCCTATAATAGGCACATTCTTTTGTTAATTCATAGCGTGCAAAACATTAGTAATCATCTTGTGCATTTCCAGTCTTCCTTCCCTAAAAATCTCAACAGAAAATGGAAGGGGAGCGTTTAAAGAATGAGGAAAAGGAAACGAAAAATTGTTATGACCTTGGGACGACCACATCTCAAAAGCTAGTCCTGAAGATTGGAGAGTTCAAGTTCATATAAATCCCACGTTGAAATCCTATATACTTTAAATGTGAATCCAAGACAAGTCCCATACCTTGTCTTACAACTAAGATGCTAACAAAGTTTTGCCAGGGTCACGGAAGAAGAATTGCAAGTTTTTCCAGGAATTTTTTTTTTTTTCCTCTTTAATCAAATCAACTGGTACCAAACACCATATTTTACTATATTTTAATTACCTTTCCTTCACCTATATCCCCGTCCAAACAAAGCCTTGGTAAAAAAAAAAACCTAATTTCTTTTGCTAAGAAATACTAAAAACTTTTGATTAATGCGTACCAAAAAATTTGTTCAAATTAAAAATTTAAATTCAAATTATAACTAATAATTTTTAGTGGGTCTATAAACAAAAATTTAAATTCAAAAAACCTATAATTTTTTAGTGGGTTCTATCAAACCTTTTAGTTTAAGCATAGTTCATCCTTAACACATAATGTCACGTGTATTTTGAAAATGTTTCACAGATAAATGTAATGAATAATTTGAAATGCTGGTTTAGAAGAGAAATTTTGGTGTAAAATATTTTTAGAGAAAGATATTTTGGTATAAATATTTATGTATATTAAAGGTATTTTGACATGAAAATGTAAAAAATTCCCATAGTAAAAAAACAAATTCATTTTTCCAAAATTTCATTCTAAACTAAAGACATACAAGTTCAACTGATTTAGCTAAAAGACATACAAGTTCCAACTGATTTAGCTAAACCACTTGAGCTCCTCAGGTCTAGCTTTTCCATCCTACAATGTCAAAGAAACGTCAATTGCTAAATAAAATATATTATTTGTAATGGAATAAAAAGAAACCAAAAGTCTGAAGCTCAGGACACTAAGATAGCAGTATCTAAAGCCTAAAGGAGTAAAGGTCACAACTTTACACTGTTTTCTTACCAAATATCTAAACTTTATTCATGATAAAAATGTACACAGGCCAAAAGCACTGGCAAAGAGCAATACAATTTCTCTCCTGCATTATATTTGTCCACTATACTCTGTTAAGAATTTGGAGCTTAAAGTAATTAAAGTTGGCCCCTTAAATTGACATCTCTGTTTTCAAGAACTAACTGTGAAGTCGCTATCTTATGATTCTATTAGTACTTTGATCATTTCCTTCAAAAAAATAACACAGACAATGGAGTTTCGTCCAAAAAAAAAGAGAGAGACAACGGAGAAACATAGATAGAGGATGTTTAAGGATTTAAAAATAATATTTCCACCACTATCACATAATTCTTTTGCGGGGAACATGAACAGAAAGAGCACCCTAACAATGGAATCATATCAATAGCAATAAACTGAAAATGATAAAAGGGGTATGGAAGTACTGACCTGCAGATTATTGCGGGAATACAAGTTAAGGCTACAGTTTAATCATTCAGGGTAAGAAAGTTATGTCTATCATCAGATAAATGAATCTGAGCAAAACAATAATTACTATAGGTAATTCCCACATGATATAATTAATAACTATAAAAAAATATATGTTTTCATCCTGTGAGATGTGAAAGATCTGTAATTAATAATTTGAGTATCAAATTCAAAGAGACAGACACCTAATATCAATGACCAACAGCTTTTTTATGACAAAAAGGATTACACATATTTCCTCAGCTTAAAATTGATATAGATCTACCTAATCAAGTCCCATTTTTATGTATTTCATGCAAAATACTATACAATTGGGAATTTGTTCTGCAGAAAAGGGACTTTTGGGGAAGAAGACTCAAATCTACAACTCTCTTTGTCTTCATAAATCTACCTAATCAAGTTCCATTTTTATGTATTTCATGCAAAATACTATACAGTTGGGAATTTGTTCTGCAGAAAAGGGACTTTTGGGGAAGAAGACTCAAATCTACAACTCTCTTTGTCTTCAACTGTTTCTTCTTGCGTTTTTCCCCAAACCACAGCATAAAACCCAAAGGCAATAATAACAGCTCCTATCACACTGCATAGTAAAATGTGGGAAAAAAGATGAGAGAAAAAAAATTGAAACAGACAACATTGTTTTCTTTTATTTTCCCTTTCCTAACTGCTTTTGCATTCAGGATGAAGAGTTGATGATAATTAGTCCTGATAATACATAATCAAGTGAGGAATACTACCTTCCAAGATAGAGAGTATCCCCTATGAAAGATACCCCCATGAATACTGCAATAGCCATCCCAAGTGGTTTAAACATGGAAGTATATACAGGGCCTCTCTTATGACATGCCCATGTGTGAACAACACTTCGAAGTGATACTGCAAAAACTGCCTACAAAATTAATCAAAAAAATATCAAGCCATTATAAAATCCAATAAGAAGCTTATCGTGGAGGAAGAGTAAGTAAAAACTTCCTTCTCCACGCTCACCGAGAACCCAGTGGCAACCAACCCAATATCAGGCCTTATTTTCCAAGCATTCAGATCTTTCTCAGCAATCAGAGTAACTATGGCTGACAGGATAGTCACAAAGCAACAATTAATCAATGTAATGATTATCTCTGACGGATAGTCCCTTATGATCCAAGTCTGGAAATGTCAAAACAAAGATCAATTCTTGAAGTAAAATTATATCTAAAAATACGTTGTAGATATTTTGGTAATGTCTACCTGGATAATGTAAATTACAGCAAGGATAAAACTATGAACTGCGAGGAAAAAACCTCCGATGGCCCAGTTTGATGGAGGCAAAACAAGAATCTGACTTTGTAATTTATTAATTGGCAGACCTTTATATAAAGTTACAACTAGTCCACCAGTTATCAACATCATTGTTCCAATAGATTTTGCTTGACTGCTTTTGCTTTTCAAGTCCAGCCTTTCCATCCTAAAAAAAAAAAAAAAAAATCTAAGCCTAATTAAATATTTGCGCTCAGTATATCTACATAAACTGCAATGAAAAAGAAGGCTGCTGGTGATTAGTACTTGCCCTGAGATGACACCGAGTATGAAAGTAAAAGCTGGAGTTAAATCAATCATTGCTGAGGCCAGAGTTGGATTGCTGTATCCTATACCAATATATGTGAACACCTGACCAGCACAACTAAAAACTTGCAAATAAATTCAATAAAAAGATGAAAAGTTAATCAGACCTGCATTAATTAGTAGCGGAGAAGTTATATAATACCTGAGCAGACTAAGAACAAAAATTTTGCAAAGTATGGATAGTGTAAGCGGTGGAGCGATTCTTTTTCTGTTGAATGAAAGTAAAAATTAAGAAGAGATTCAAATAATTCTTGAAAGAATAATTAACGGTACATATACTTGCCTGTAGAAGATAACAGAAGATGAAAGAAGCAAGAAAATGGCAAGCATGTTAGAGTAAACCACTAGTATATAGTGACTGAAGCCACTGCTCATGGCTGCTTTGTTTACAGTATTCAAGCCAACATCCAAGAACTCTAATGTAAGCATAACTGCAGTTACTCTTAAACCCCACATTTCTCGCGTAGATTGATGCACATTACCAATACTCACAACGTGGGAGATTTCAGGTCCTTTATAAGGAAAGTGCATGTAATTGTTTTGACAGTTCACAAGGGTCAAATGCCTGCATTTTATAAAAATGTATCGCACGAGTTACTCCAATCCACTTGGGGGTTGGGAGACTTTGTACAGTGCTCTTTGACGCATATCATCTTTTTCGACCATGCATCCTTTTTTATCCTTTAGGTAAAGTACAGGTTTTTATTGGTAAAAGAGGTTGAAAATCAGGACAACCCATATTATTGACAAACTTAGATGTCTCATTCACGAAGTTTCCTCGAGTTTTTCCCCGTCAAGAGACCAAAATTTGGAGTGAAAATAAAATCACCAGTACAGGGCCACATAAGATTTTCATTTACCCAAATTTGTGATTAGAAAATGTCAATTAAGCTTAAGCCAGTGTTTTGCAAACAGTACTACATATCCACAGTTTTGTTTCCCAGAAGAGGGATCTTATGAGAGCTCCACTCCAAGTTAGAATTTCCTTTGTCTTCTTCAGCCGTATTTCTTCCTGGGCTTTTCCCCATATCACTGTAGACAATCCAAGGGCAATAATGGTACCTGCAATTACACTGCAGTGAAAAATTCCACCAAATAAAATGTTATTTCCTTCACAAGCTTCAAAAGAAAAAACAAAATTGAGGTAAATGAACTAAAAAACAAGATTCTGAATCAACTAAAAAACAAGATTCTACCCGCAGCAGATATCAGGACGACAGCTTTCAAAATCTTGGCAACAAGCAACAACAGAGTGGTTCTCGATCTTGATGGCCCAAATCACATGTGGTTTTAGTTGGGCTTCAACCGATATCTGTTTCCAAATCCATAACTAGGGAATGTAATGTGCCCCAAATACCATCTGAATCCAACTTTGCATTTATGGGCCGCTCTGTCTTCTTTCCCCTTCGTCAAATCCATGTTTGCTCCACGCTAACGACCGTTTATAAGACAAAAACCGCACACAAATCCAGCTTAACATATCTCAGATGGCAAATTACTTGTCTAAACGGCTCCATATTTACTCTTATAGATCAAAATCAATGACAATAAAATTTTTTAAAAAAATGTTCCCTTTTTTTTTTTTTTTTTTACACCGGTTTAGCTAAAATTTTCCCATGTCAGACGTTTTGACGACTGTATCACTAGGCGAATAGAAACGTTTGTCGACTGTATTACTAGGCGAATAGAGATCTGCTATACGGTCAAAGGAACTGTAGTTTTTGTCTTTTTTCAGAATGAAATAATTAAAAAAAAAAAAAGTAATAAGGTTCTAACATTTTCTTTCAAATATCTACCGAGAAGTGATAAAGAAAATAGCCAATATATTCATATATTTATCAAATATATGTGATTTCTTATTATTACATGCATGGATGGTCTTTTGATGAAAGAATTTTATAAATTTTTTTCTAAAATCTAAAAACAAATAATTGCAATATTTACTTCTATATGGATTGAATTAGTAATTCGTTAATTGTACTTGAACATAGAATGTAATTGTATATTTAAGTATAATCTCACGGAAAATGTATATATGACCGAACAACATGTTCAAATCTTCCGTAAAAAAATATCTAATTGAAAATAAAATAATAATAAAATTGAAATTCTAAAAATACAAATTTTACATTATTCGTATGCATACAATAATGCGTGATGAAGGTCCCGAAAGCAAACTTTGAATTGGAAGCCAATAATTGTTTCCAATATATATATAATTAATAATGTGAATCCAGAATATATTCTTTGTCAGTTAAAAAGAAAAAAATCCAAAATATATTGTAGTCTTAAGAGTGAACAAACAATAGCTGGATGCACAGTGGAGTATTAGCTGACATAGAAAAGTGCTGGATGCAATGAATAGCCTCTGCCAAACAGAGAGAGGACAGCCCTAAAAATTACCACACCAAACCCTTATTACATCAAATTCATCGTTTTTTCCAAGCTAAAGGTAGACTTGGATTTTGACATTAGATACTATGAATATACTACGTGCTTGTGTAGGGTTTTTAGATTGAAAGAAGATCATCAATTTTTGGAGGGTAGCCATCCTTTTTTCTTTTTCTTTGTCTTTTTCTAAATCTATTTAAGGCTATATTGCTCATTTCAGTAATTGGGTAATTATTTATTTTGATTATACGATCTAACCATTCTTTTAATATCCAATTGCATGCATGAATTGAACACAAATTGCTTAGTTTTTTTCCTTTTAAGTTTACAAAGTGGAGACTCGAAATTTCGAATTCTTGACTTCACAAGTAAAGTTCACTGAGAACCTAATTCAGATTATTATATTGCTAATTTAACAACCTATTAACAAATTGCAACTAGTTCCATGTATATGAATTTTTCTTCCCCTCATATTTTGATTCCAGATGGTGATGATGAATAATGGACGTAGATCAGTAGCAATACCTTTTCTTTTTACTGTTTATAGGCAGCGTACCTAGATCAGTAGCAATACCTTTTCTTTTTACTGTTTATAGGCAGCGTACCTAGGCAGCGTACCTAGATCAGTAGCAATACCTTTTCTTTTTACTGTTTATAGGCAGCGTACCTAGATCAGTAGCAATACCTTTTCTTTTTACTGTTTATAGGCAGCGTACCTAGATCAGTAGCAATACCTTTTCTTTTTACTGTTTATAGGCAGCGTACCGCAGCCGGTTTGTCAAGTTATAAGCCTATTTTGAGTGTGGTCCGAAGGTTTCAATCACCTATATAGCATAGTCTTCCATTAGCCACCATTTTCAACTAGCGTTATATAGTTCGTTTTTAACTCCTCTGTCCATTTTCTTTTGAACAGTGCTATGATCAAATTTCAAAAACAACAAGTTCATTTGTTGATAATCAAACGTCTATCCTTTGCATGTTCTGGACTCCCCTCAAACCAGTTCTGTGGATAGAGCTGTGTTGTTTTTTACGACTTGGGCGTTGAGGCCTTCTTAATTTCTAAGGAAGGGAAAATAAGATTGTTATTTCATTTTTATTTATTTATTTGTTTATTTTTGTCTATAAAGCTTAACCCATATTTTTTTTTTCTTGTTTTTCTTTTTTTGCAATATCCATGATTGCATTAGAGCTTAATTAGTGTTTTTTATTTACCTTTCAGTTTAATAATAGATGCACATATCCGTAACTATTTCAAATTTGCACCATGACAGTATTGAAAAAAAAGTTGAAAATTTATACACTATTTTAAATTTGTGTGAAATTATATGCAATAGGATAAAAAAATAATATTCAGATAAAATTCGTTCAAATAGACTGACTCCAGATTTTAAACCGATACGCGGCACGTGGGAAGAAAGATAAGGAAAAAACGTGGAAGTCACATGAGAAAGAAAGGAATGGAGACGATGGTGTCGGTCTTAATTTGGAGAAGTACAACAGAGTTGATGAAGCTCTTCTCCAATTGAGATTGACATGATAGCAAAAAGAAAGACTGGTCGTATAGCAACCCAACCCATTGGCCACTTGGATTGCTACATGCTAATGCTACCTAGCTACTACTCTCGCACCTCTCACTCTCTCTCTCTCATATATATGCCTTTCTCCGTCTCATGCAAAAGCAATACAACGAAATAATAAAGCTAATTTTTCAGAGCTTTATGTACTGCTTGCTTGCTATTATATATATGTGGGCTCTCTCGTCTCATCGCATGCCTTTCTTCACTGCTTTGTCTTGTGAGTTGTGACCTATTCTCTTTTCCACTGCCCTAACACTGTTACCCTAATAGGCTAAAGTATTACTATGTATTTTCAATTGTAGGAGCTCGCTCTTCGAACAAGCCATTCTCATGAAATTATATTGATGCAAATGATAGTGTTGTTATTTTTTTCACATGAAAAAAAAATTTACAGACTAATAAAAGATTATAACCGTATTTTCAAATGTAAAATCGACTATTTGATTTGGTATATACGTAGTTCCATACATTAGTTATAGAAAAGAATTCACAAAAACGAATGCTATTAATCATTCTTTAGAGTATTGTCAGATCGACTCTCATTCATATTAATTTTAATAGGTAATCATTCAAACAAAATAAAAATTTTTGCTAGTATAAATTAAAATTTAATAATTGTACTAAAATTTGGTTATCATAATTGGAATGAATCAGATATTTTTAAAAGAAAAAATGATTTCAATACCTTCATGATTGGCAATCAAAAAGAAAAGGAAAAGAGGATCAGAATCAACTAAGCACTAAATTGCAATTTCGCAATTTTCAAATCCAGCCCACGATTTAAACTCTATAAAGATAAGAAATAGTTAGGCTCGTATCTGGCCCATGGCTTACACAAGAGGTGGCCCACCAATCAGCTGCCTAATACTAATAGGATAAGCATTGCAGGCATGTACGTACTACAATTCTTTAAGCAGAGCTTATACCTTATTTTTCATATAGCCTTTTTAATTCTATTGTCATTTTCTAGAATTTATGTAATTGGCAATTAAACTTTCGAGAGCGGGTAACGAGCGTTGAGACGAGTGATGAATCATTCCGCATTTTTTTATTTTTAAAATGAAATCGATCCTACAAATAAGAGTATGAACTTTTTTTTTTTGAATAAAAAAGAATAATTAATAAAGATATATCAAATGTAAACACGTACCTTTCTTTGTTATAATAAGGGTTAACTGATTTTAATCTCAGGAATATAATTTATTTATTTTAATTAACGAAAAAAGAATTATAAGTCCAATTTTCTTTTTAAAAAATATTTTACGGAAAATTAAAAAAAAAAAAAAAACAGTATTCCAAAAATGTGCTAACAATGTCATTACAATAAGAGGTAACGAACATTGATTCTCTTAATTTAAGGGAAAACAAGTTATTAATTAGGAAGGGACTTATCTAGAAACTGATGAATAATGAATATAGAAAATATGAAAAAATAAATAAATAAATATTTAAAAGAGAGAAGTGAGAACAAAGAGCATCTCACCTACTCTATGGCCATGCTCCCATGTGCAATCCTTTCTGTAAAGAGACGGAAAAAAAATGGCAAAGTACTATTGCTGTTTGTTAGACATTGAAATGACATTGGTTGGGCACATTACAAGAGTAAAAATATTTAAATTAATTAAATAAAAGACATACTATGGTTGGTAGTTAGGGAGAAGA